CCCCACAGGGCTACCCTCCCCAGGGCTATCCCCCTCCCCAGCAGCAGATGCAGTACCAGCAAGCGCCCCCTCCCAAGGAGGAGAAGAGCCACGGCTGCCTCTACACCTGGTGAGTTTTTCTCTCAGGGTGGTTGACGAGAGCCTGTAGATCGTGCTGCAGGGCTAGGGTCGCTTTTTTATGATTTCGAGCATGCCCTACAAACCGACAGCGATATGGCAGATCCCGATCACCACCCACTTTCGACCGCCAAGACATGGACATATCACTGACCTTCATCACAGCGTTGCTGCCATGTGCTGCTGCTGGCTCTGCGGAGAGACCTGCGAATGCTGCCTCGAGTGCCTCGACTGCTGCTTCTAAACAGCCCGACACCCCACACGACGATCGCTGCCCGATGAATTAATAACCGAACGAGATGATATGTTTCTGTGTATTGCGAGTCACTTTGATGGAATTGGGCGACATGATTTCGGAAAGGAGTTTTGGGGGCACGATGGGCAGGAGGTGGAAGACTTGATGGGGCGACAGGACCTCGGTGCTGTCTGACCGGTGGGCCCTCCTGAGACATGACAGAGCTTTTTCTTTGCGCTCTTGCTGTGCTATTTTACCTTAGCGAAATCCAGATACCATTGCGATTCTGCCCTCTGTTTGACCACTTTGCAACGGACCATGCTCCGTAAACCGCAACATATCCAATTCTGGACAACCAAGACTTTGCGCTTACTGATATCCTGTGGTTTTAGTCCAAGGATTGCGATGACAAAAGCGGGCTTGCAAGTTGACCGTCTTGAGTCAGCCGCTTCGGAGATGGTAATTGGCCAGACGGCACTATCGAAAATGCAGCACAGGGGAGGGGAGGGGGGCGTATTGGGTATGCTCACCGCAGAGACGACAGAATCTGGGCTCAGCTGAGAAAAAGATGGGCAAGATAAAAAGAGACAGCAATTCTGTCCCGACAACTACCGTCCTCCTTAGAGACATCAACCTCAACCCGCCGAAGAACATCAACCGCCACCGTCGAGATGTCCTGCGAGCACTCCCCAGCAGCCTTCAAAAGCAAGAAACCACCCCAACAGCAAGTCCATAATTTCTGGGACAGGTACATCACCAAATCCCCCGGCAAAGTCACCACCATCTTCCCACCCTCCCTCTATTCTTCCCTCCTCCCTCGCCCCTCAGCCCTCTCCAAATATGACACCACAACCTCCCCAACCACCACCAACTTTGGCGCCTCCTACGCCGCCGCGGCAGACGCCTGCCGCGCCAAAATCGCCCGCATCGTCCGGGACTGCCACCGCACCAACTCCAAGTTCACCGACCCCGACTTTGACCTCAAGGGAAACCAGTGGGACTGTCTGCTGGGTTTGAACTGGCGGTCCCCTCCTGCCAAGGGCAACCCCGCCGCCGTTGAGGATGCCCTCGGGACGCTGGAGAGGATGCAAGTCTTTGACGGGACGGACTGTCTTCAGTTGACGGTGCCGGTGCTGAGGAAGATTATGGGGAAGAGAGTGCTTGACGAGGAGCAGGAAGGGGACAATGATGAGGACTATGACCCCGAGCCGAAGGCGGTGCACAGAGTTGGGTGGATCTTTGAGGACCCCAAGTTCGAGGTGGATGGGTTTAGCAGTTCGGACATAATGCAGGGGAGCAACAGCCTTGATTGCTGGTGGTTGTCTGCCGTGGCTACCATCTGTCATCGGCGGGAGCTGATGGACAAGATTTGCGTCGCGAGGGATGAGGAGTGCGGGGTGTATGGGTTTGTGTTTTATCGGGATGGCGAGTGGGTGTATACCGTGGTGGATGATCACTTGTGTTTGACGAACGGGGATTATGAGGGGGGAGGGCATGATCCGAGTAACGCCATTGTGAAGAAGTGGAGGAGGGATAAGCAGACGGGGAGCCAGGCGTTGTATTTTGCGGCCTGTCGGGAGGAAAACGAGACTTGGTTGCCGTTGTTGGAGAAGGCGTATGCCAAGGCCCATGGGGACTATCACGCTATTTGGGGTGGGTGGGTTGGTGAGGGCGTGGAGGATTTGACCGGGGGGGTCAATTCGGAGCTGGCGTTGGAGGATGTCCTCTTCAAGGAGAAATTATGGAAGGAGTTGGTGAATGAGAATGGGAACTTTGTCTTTGGGCTGGATATCTTGGACAGGAATGGCTCGGACAAGAACGGACTGGCCAACGCGCACGCCTACTCTCTTTTGGCCGCTAGAGAGGAGGAGGGAGAGGATGGCAAGACCGTTAGACTGGTCAAGATCAGGTTTGTTTATCTTTCTGCTCGCTCCAAGTCCTGTTTCGTCTTGTCTTCTTCCCCCCCCCCTTTTTTTTCTCCTTCTTCCTTTCTTTCCATTAGAACTTCGAGATAGCATCAAACCCTGATACTAATGATGATGTAGAAACCCCTGGGGTGCACGCGGTGGCGACGGCATGGGCGAATGGACCGGCCCGTGGTCGGACGGCTCAAAAGAGTGGACTCCATACTGGCTCACCAAACTTGACTACCGCTTCGAAGACGACGGCGTGTTCTGGATGAGCTACAACGACATGCTTCACACATTCACTAATTTATACCGCACTCGTCTCTTCGATGACGAGTGGGCCGTGGCTCAAGAATGGACAAACGTCAATGTTGCCTGGGTTTCTGGGTACTTGCAACGCAAGTTCGTTATCGAGGTCAAAACAGCCACCACTGCTGTCTTTGTTCTGCAACAGGTAACTTGACCTCCGCATTTTCTCCAGTGCCTTCGACTGACATTTGACAGCTGGATACCCGTTACTTCAACGGCCTTGAGGGAGAATACTCGTTTCTTCTGCACTTCATCCTCCAGAAGCAAGGTGCCGAGCCAGGGGACTACCTCTGCCGCGTCCGTCCGCAGGCTGAGAACTTCTTTCGCGCCAATCGGTCCATCAACTGCGAGATTGATCTTGAGCCAGGCATCTACGAGGTCCTGCCCAAGATCACTGCCGAGCGCGACACAAGCAAGCCTCCTGTCGAGGCGATTGTCAAGGCCTCAGCTCGGCGCCGCCCAGAAAAGCTGAGGCAGGTCGGTTTAAGCTTTGATCTCGCCCATGCCAAGGCCTTCAAGAAGGAGGAGGAGAAGAAGGGTGATTCTAGTGATGGGTGGGAAACCGAACAGGAGGACGAAGAGGCAGAAAAGGCGAGTGTTACTGAGACTGGCGAGGAGACACCTGGAGGGTCTGATGAGGCACAAGCTGCTGCGGCCGGTCGTGAAGAAATCCAACAAGGTGGGCAGGGAAGGCAAGAAAATGACAATGACGAGGACGAAGAGGAGGATGATGAGGATCAACCTTCGCTCTGGAACGCTGTTGCTGTTGTTGGACTCCGTGTCTATTCGCGGGATCCCGAGCTGGTCATCAAACTGACTTCCCCTGGCAATGATGAGGAAGCCGCAAGCGTTGTTCAGGGTACCTAGAAGTGGTGAAGACAGCTGCAAGCAGGGATGGGCTTCTGGGCGCAGATGGTCATGACGAACTTTGGTGTTTGTTTGTTTGTTTGTTGTGCGTTTCATTGTCAAAAATTCATCCAATCATCAAAGAGTTTGTCATTGTCTGCCAAATGATGTGTTCCGAGCTTTCACCGTTTGATACGGAGTGGTGATGTCATGCCAGGTGCACAGCAATGGTCATGATGTACTGATGGCGTCACGAGTCATAAATAAAGCAATGCTTCATATCAAGGTGCCTACCTACTTATTTAGAGCGGACCAGGCCGCGAGTCGCAGAGTCTTTTAATTTCACCTTCGCATTGACACGAGTTGAAACCCAATCCACTCAGCAATTGAACAGCCCATTAGCACATCAATCAACACACAAGGACATTTGACAAGTCTTCGTCAAACCAATCACCATGCCTGAACTCCGCAAGAACCCCAAGCAGCGTGACATCGTCGGCGATGCGGCTCAGGAAAATGCCCTTCAGGCTCCCGAGGAGATTAGCAACCAGGCCCGCGGCCACAAGGCCAATTTGAGCAACCCAAGTAAGTCAAAGTTAGCTGTCCACGTCAAGACCCTCGTACTAACAAAAGTCCAAGACACAAGCGAGCAGTCCAAGGAAAACTCCAAGCAGAAGCTCGAGGAGCTTGGTGGCGAGGGTGCATTCTTCAGCAAGGATTCTAAATAGAGCGGCGGGTCAAGCAAGGCGGCGGGTCAAGCAAGGGAGCGATCGGTCATTGATAATGGTTCTGGCGTTCGAGGCGTGTTTGTTCGACCTTTACGCTTGAGTTAACTTCAATGTGGAATAAGCAACAATTTTCATTGTGATACTTTCCATTTCAAATGCAAGAACTCCCATCATGCGCCAACATTAAGGGCCTTTGTATCAGCCAAGGTATTAATTTTTCTTGTCCTCCTTCTTCTTTTCCCAGTCCTTCTCCACACGCCACTGGTCCTTGAGCGTCAGGGATGTGCCAGACGCCAAGTCACAACCTCTATGACCCCATTTCTCTTCGTAGATGCGTCTCCCGGCATCTGTCAGCGTCCAAAAGGCACTATGAAACCCATCCGCATTGTAATAAAACGGCTCTTCTTCACCACCTCGTTGCGCCCGTTGCCAGTTGTTCCGCTGTTCAGCCCCATCCCGATACTTGTACTTGCCCATCTCATCGCCCACGGCCCTCAAAGCTCGGAAATACTGCAGCTGATCAGCAGGCAATCCGTGCTCCTCTCTCTTTGCCTTGCCCTCCTTTTCCTCCTTCTCCTTCCGCTCCTTCTCCTCCTTTTCCGCCTTGGCCTTTGCGATCTTTGCCTCCTTCTCCGGCGGCAACGGCGCTGGATCGATAAACTTTGGCATCTTGTACTTGTTCCGATAGAGTACTTCCAAGTCCTCCAGCACGGTGGAAACATCATTGATAATCCCCACCCTCCTCGGCTTCATGGTCCACCCGTCCATCCCCATCTTGCCATTCATATCGCAGTCCGTTGCATAGTACGGAATCAGGGAGTCCCACCCGCCTACAGCCTCCATTGCCTCCCTGTTGACAAGCGTCAAGTGGTCGTATTGATACCATCTAAAACCCCAGCGCTCCTTTCTTTTGATCACTGTTTGCAAGTCGCGGAGGCAGTTCTCGTAAATCGTCCGGTAGCCCTCTTTGCCGGCCTGGACAGGAGACAATATCTCCTTCTTCTCCGCCTCGCTGTAGAATTCCCAGTTGCCGTCTGCCGGTCGGCTGATGAAGTCGAGGCCTTCCTCAAACGAGAAGACGAGGACATCTTGGTGACTGTAGAAGTAATAGGGGTGGTCTTCCTGGTAGGCTATCGACAGAAAGAAGTTTTGCATTTGGGCAAAGGTAAGCAGAACGGGGGTTTGGATTACGGTGACGCCCAGTCGGTGGAGGGTGGTGTGGTTGAGGTAGAAAGGGTTCTGGAGGGTGAGTCTGCCTTGCTTGTTCATGTTGTGCACTCCGGTGTTTTCAACCACGTAGATGTTCTCTGGCGGCCACCCCGCGGTGATGTAGCTGACGACTGCTTGGAGGAGCATGGGCCACTGTCGGGTGAAGCCGATGAAGAGCGGGGGGGCGCGGTCGAGGCCGTATTCCTTGTGCATTTCAGGACGAGGAATATTGTACTCGGGTATTGGTGGGGGATCGGCGGCGGTATTCGCCAGCAAGGGGAATGGGTCGAAAACGGGTGGAGGGAGCCATGATGGTGTTGGCTTGTATCGCGGCGGGGGATGCTTCCCAGAAGTGAGAGGCTTCAGAATTTCTGGGATTGATGTAAGAAATGAGGAGCCCTTCTGCGTTGGCGGATTTCTGTAAGAGTGATAAAATAGAACAGAGAGTGTGATGAAGAAAAGGATGAGGATTGTGTGTCGCGTGAATCGCGTGAGGGTGAACATGATCACATGATGATCTGGGAAACGCGTGAAAATTAACCTTTTGCAAAGTGAAAGAAAATTGTCGGTTGTCGATTGAAAACTCCTGTCGGAGGTCATCCTTCTGCCGACCCCTGAAGCCTAAAGGCGGTGCGTTGCATTTGCGGCACAGCATCCATGCCAATGCTGACATAGATGCAAGACGCGTCGAACTTGTGTGCTGATGCCAAGTCAATGTGGCGGATGTACCCGCGTATTGAGGCTGGGGCTGAGAATAGGTACAGATAACCCAAAGACCCTTGAATGCCGTAGTGCCACAACAGCAATTCAAAACCTGTCTTCAAAGTTCCATGTGTTGGGATGATTGCTTTGAATACCATCTCAGCAAGTATTCTGTGAACTCCCAAAGCACACCCCTAACCCTTGGCCGAGTGGACCCCAAATACGCACAGACATCGAACCCCTGAACCCCTTTTGTTTTGTTTGATTATGGATGAAAAAGCAGGCAATACAGAGTAAACCAATGCAGGATAATATCCTAAACCACGCCTGGAAGAGTTCCCAACAGGCGTTAAGCCCTAAAGGGTAGCTAACAGGGCTATTCCCTAGCTGAAGGTACAAGCTCAATATGAAAGGCGTGTGTTATACATCTGCAAGACACTGAATAGCATTGTTGCTGAACATTATTGCTCTTTTGTGAAGACCCAACACTTTAAGAGGTAGCCTGAGATCCACCTCCTCCTGAGAATCGCGATTGTTCTTCCTCTTGACTCTCTCCTAGCTCTCGCTCTTGTTCCTGCATAACACCAACTAGATTAGTATCCAAATCCATGGTAAGATTTGCCCTGCATGGAGATGCCATCTTACTCGAGCCGGCTCTTTAGGAAGCCAGATGACAGTCTTCATCTGAACAGGTACTTGAGAGGCATTCTGGACCTGTTCTGTGAAATCTTGCCGGCACTCGGGGAAGAATTTGCACAAGATACTGACTAGCCTCTCAGGACAAGCACTCCAATGAGCTCTGTCAATTGACTTGCCAACTGCTCGGCAGGGATTTGTTGATGACATAATAATGACTTCAACACCTGACACTTAGAAAGTTACCTGTTGCTGATGCGCGTTGGCTATTGACGGCAACAGCTATGCCGGGTCGTACGCATCACCAACACCTGTACAAGAACCCCTTCAGTACAAAAGACGTGGAAAAGTCCAAGTGTCATAACTTCGCTAGGTAGACAAGGTGGGAATGATTGAAGCGACCAATAGGTGATTGTTCAGCATAAGACCAAAGGGCGTAGTAACAGCTACCCCTAAGTTGATGTTCCTATTGTGTAAAGAAGGGTTCTAATTTTCCTAGATAAATCAGGTCCTACCGATATTACTACAGACAACCAGTTATATAAGCAAATGGCAGCATCCAGAAAGAGTCTACGTGCAATAAGTCTCCGACGTGAAGCAATCTCTCCTTCCTCAAATGCGTAAATACGGTAGCATAAATTTGAGTCCAGACTGATTATCTTTGTTGTTTATCAGCGTGTATGTGCTCAATACTTCGATCGTGTCGCTAAGTAGGTAGCTAGGACAAGAGTATTGAGCTCGGGTGAGAGGAAGACTTTCATTGCTTCAAGTATTAGATGGGTAAGGGTTGGAAGTACTCTTGAATACAAGCTCATGACTTAAATTCTGCGAAGCTTCTTCACGGCCGAGCCTGAACGCCTTCCAATTAATTATATGAAGTCTGTTCTATCTTTGAGGCTGAAAAGAGTTTGAGGGGGTTGATGCAGACTGTTGGCGACGACCAGCTTTTGAGCCACCACAGATTACCTTTGCTCGCACCAGCACAGTACAGCAATCGTAATTCTCCCCGTCCGAGTTCCCGACCTTAGCCACCGTTGGGGATACTACAAGCTCCACATCCCCGCACCTGTCATTGTTTCCGCTCTCAAGCTCCATGTAGTCCTGGTCAAAAGGAACCCCGTATTTGTTCTTCGCAAGCCCATTGAGCGCTTCGATGGTCTCCAGCATGAAGACCATATATTCAGCTTTGCTCCGGGCCAAATCGGCGTCCAATTTTGCTGCCAAGAGTACAAGCTTGTCTAGAGAGTCGCATTGTCCCTCCTTGAAAGACTTATTCTGCCAAGGTTCTAAGCTGGCCCTTAGATTCCAAGCAATTTTTTGTATGCGTCTTTTGTCCAGATCATACATGGAAAACAACATTGATGCTGTGTGTGCGTTCCACCTGTAAAGATCAGCCAGAGAAACAGTATCGTTCTCAAGCTCACGAGATAAAAACTTGACATGCTCAAATGCTTTGCCAGCCCAGAGCATCCCGTTGCCGCTGAAAACTTCCGAAATGAGGAAATTCCAGATAAATGCCTCTATCAAGAGGGCCTTTCCCACTGGTTGTGTTAGGTAGCAATCCACATCCTCCACCAGATTCGAAAATAGCTGCTTCGAGGGATGGTCTAATCGCATACTTTTGGATATGGTTGTGGAGCTTGAATAACGGATAGAAACGATCTGTTCGATGGTGAACTTGATTTCCCCGAATCGCGACTGGACTACACCGTCGTCGATGTGATGGTTGGGGTTACCCTTGAGGGCAACAAAGGCATCGCGAAGCTGCTTGTTTTCTGCTTCCATCTTGAAGCACTCGTCGTCGTACTGATCGATTTCCCTCTCCAGGCTTTCCTTCTCCTTCTTCAATTCCTCAACCTCCTCGCAGAGAATCTTCACCTTGCGGTCTTTTTCAGCAAGCTCTTGCTTCAATTGTCTCAGGTGGAAAGAGTTTGCTGAAGGACTTGCTGGCCATGCTAGAGACTGACTGGCACTTGATAGCCGTTGTGGTATCTGTGGTGCTCTGTACATTGATAAGCTCGTGCCTGCACATGGGGTCATTTGATTGTTGTGGCAAATGGCGACGTACCTTGCTTGAGTTCCTGCTTTTGGGAATATCCCTCCACGAGTGGGCGAACGAACTGGTTCTGGCAACCTGCTACGACCTTTGCGGCTTGAATTCGTTGTGTCATTTATCGGTCGGAATACCTTGTCAAACATGGTGCTCGCTTATGTGTAAACGGACAGAGAATATACAGAGCAACCTGTCCCTCAATCATGGGAGGAGAAGATGGCTGATATTGCGCATTGGAGCCTTGTCAGACTCGGGGTTGTCTCACATGAGGTGGACAAGGAATTCATACTGCAAGCGGTGGTGTGACTTGGCTTTAACACTGCCTCAGCTGTGCATAGGTTTTTTAGTGCTGGCGCCAAAAAGGCCCACACCCCTACATCTAGTTTGTACCAGTACTTTCCTCCGAAGCTCTCTCAGCCGACGGCAATACCAGCCAATGGAAGAACAATGTGGACCACCGCAGCCAGGGTCAAGCCAAGAACATTCGCAAAGGCAGAAACCCGCCCTTTCCACCTGTTCCTTCGAGTGTTTTCGATTTTCGGAGCTGTGCCCTTGTTAGGTACTTGCTTCTCATGTTCGAGGCACGAGTCCGAGTCAGACCCGGCTCCGGCCTGTGGTAAATCTTTTTGAATCCTGTCCCACTTTTCCATTATCTCTTGGCCCAGATCTGCATTCATTCGTTGACAGCTCGAGATGAGCCGCTCCCTTTCCCTCGCTTCTGCTTCGTACCGTGTTCGTAAGGCTTGTTCGGTCGCCTGATCACCAGATTGTGCCCCGGCTTTGAGTTCCCGCTCGGCCTTCTTTACCTTCTCCTCCTGTCTCTTCAGATCAACCTCAAGATCTTCCATAATTCTAGCCCCTGCGGCGGTATCACGTAGCCTCTTGCCTGACTCCATGCTATCCTTTTGGATTTGCAATATCACCGGTTTATTGCGTAGCAAGCGCCGCACAATTGACTTCGCCATCTCTGAGGAGCCATTGAAGCGTTGCGCGTTGGCACCGTGGTCGATCATATCCTTCCAGAAACTCCTCCGCAACTCCCGCTCGCGCATGGCACCAGTCCTCTCATCTTTAACATGATCCCATCTAGTGGTGAGTAGAGTAACGGCTGAGAGAGCATCCTTGCCGCAGAGATCATGGAACATGGTAAGGGCCTGGAGGTCTGGTCTGCGCATTCTCTGTTGTTCAATTGGATGCAGCCAGATGATACCGTTCAGTCGGAAACCAGCTGCATGCTGAAGAATGAGAAAGTCGGATATGGTTGACAGTATTTCGGCGTCGGTCTTTCGGGAGTCGCCAAATCCTGGAGTGTCGACAACCGATACTAGCTTGTCCTTCAGTCGCAGCTGCACGACTTGACATTCCTGGGTTTCTGGAAGACGTTACTATAAGCTCCTGTGACAGTGTCTCGGAAATGGTGTTGTACCTGATTGCAGACCTGCTCCCTCGCGCACCGAATTCTGTCGCAAGAGGTTTACAAATCTTGACTTGCCGGAACCCGAGAGGCCCATGATGAAAATCATGCTTTGTTCAGGTTCGCCCATCTTTCTGGGTTAGATATGTCACGGTGACAAAGGTCGTCGGTTAAGGTGGCCGGAGGTTTGAAGAAAACGAGAGCAAAAAGGATATCGTGATGACGGGGCCTGGTGTCCCTTAATTTGTCCTGAAATGTGGAAGTCCTCATGATAAACCTCGTGGACTGCCTGCCTGGGCCAGTCCGCCCAATGCGGGGGACTTTCCATCGCGTGAGGGTGTGCAGTCATTACGGCATCTCCAGATCGAAGTAACGGTACAATGATGAGGGGTGGGTGGCAGGCTTAATTTTGAGCTATTGACAATGATGGCGCCGCCAGTTGCTGTCTGTGGGTGATTACTGGGAAAGAAAACACGTATTCTTGCATGTGGCGTCGGCCCTGAAGGCGACCATGTTGTTTTGGTTTGCGGGCAGTGCATTGAACGATTGGACTGCGTCAGCGCCTGGAAATAACATGGTTAGCCCTATTTGCAAGAGTCGGCGTTCGGTGAGATGACTGACTGGAAGGAGGAGTCTGTGCTTACAATGATAGCGCAGGTGGGTTGTGGCCAGAGGAGTCTGTCGCGCCCGCCCAGAAGCCTGGTGCTTGACCACATGCACGACCAGGACATCCCTCAGTCTCAACATCTAGGTAGCTGCTCTCCTCCGTCTTGCCCACACCTTGGAGCCCAAATCAACTTCACATACAATTGTTGCTTCCTTTGCCAACGGAGGTACCCAGACGACTGGTAGCTTGAATATGGAGGGATCTCTCACAGGCTCGCAGCTGGGGAGCCAACTATCATTACTTTCGAAGTCTAGCAGCGTCGGAATGCGTGCGGCGCCGTTCGTGTTTGGAATTGATTTCGGAACCACGTATGTATCATGTAACCAGATCCAGTGCAAAATCGCGGGTTTGCCTTCTGTTATGCCTAGTATTCTAACTTGGCCGTCTTAGCTACACTGGTGTTGCATGGTCAGCGCGTCCGGGAAAGGTTCGGCCAGAGGATATCCATCTCGTCAAGAATTGGGATAGCGTCCAATATATGAACACGGAACGGGAGAAGACACCAACAGCGATATCATACTCTTCCACCAAACAGGTCACATCTTGGGGATATAATATTCTCACCTTCGATGAATCTGTTCGGTGGTTCAAACTATTGCTTCTCGACGATGCGGACCTTCAAGAGCACCTCAAGGATGCCCCCCAGCTTATCAGTGCCAGACAGCGGTTGTTGGAGATGGGAAAGAAACCAATCGATGTCATTGCGGATTACTTGCGAAACCTCTGGAGTCATGTTATGGCCGACGTAGAAAAGGCGATGACACCCAGCTTCGTCAAGTCTACGCCATTCCGAATTATCATCACTGTCCCCGCGATTTGGAAGTCCTACATGAGAGAGAGAATGCGCGAAGCAGCGAATATGGCGGGCTTACTTGATCCTCGTGAATGTGGCGAAACCGAACTGGACTTCGTTTCTGAGCCTGAAGCTGCAGCAATTGCCACTTTCACCAACATGAAAGGCAGACCAGACATCAAAGTAGGATGCAATACCGCCACTATCTGGTCGATAATTAGCTGACAACTGGGGCTACAAGGTCGGGACATCCATAACTGTTGTCGACGCTGGGGGAGGCACGGTCGTAAGTTTCCCTCTTTCTTTTCTTTTTAGAAGAAAACGCCTGGAGGCCTGATCATTAGAAACTGACTGTAAACTGAATGACCTTAGGACTTGATCAGTTACCAGGTTGTGGATACCAACAGATTTGCTGCTAGGGAAGCCGTGGAAGGTACTGGGGCCCTTTGTGGAGCGATCTTTCTGGACCAGGAGTTCGAGACACTTGTTCGAGATCACGTTGCTACAGATGTTTGGCGTCAGGTCCCTCCACAAGAAATTGCAGAGATGATGAATCAGTCATGGGAACATGGTATCAAGCAACAATTTACATTGAAGCAGGGTCCTGAAAAGCTCTGGAAGGTGCGCCTTCCTGCTCGAGTGGTTCAACTAACTGGACAGGCAGACATCACATTGTCATCGTAAGTGCCCCTGCCGTACCTCAGGCATGTGAATTTTGGGATATCTTCTAATCTTTTAGGTCTACTATCGCGGAAATATTTGATCATGTTGTCTCCAAGATATTGGATCTTGTTGACTCACAAATTGAGACACTTGAAAAGAAAACAGGGTCAGGTCCGAATGTATGTATGGAAACCCAGAGCTGCCAAATGTAGGGCTAACAGACAATCTGATAGTTTGTCATCTTGGTCGGAGGGTTTGGGAAATCTAGATACCTCTGGGAAAGGCTGAGTAGTTGGTTAGGTGATGACTGCCCAGTGATGCAGCCATCTGAGCCAGGACCGTGAGAGTCCCGAACGTGAGCCTCATTGAGCGGAAGCTAATTAATTCATATTCACAGATGGACCGCTATATGCCGAGGCGCAGTCATACGGGGCACCCAAGATGCTGAAATCAAAATTACGTCCCGAATATCACGTAGCAACTATGGCCACATATACGATACCCGCTTTCAGCAAGGTGTACATGATGAGAGAGACCAAATGGTGGACCCCATCACTCTCGAAACAATTGCTTATGCTCAAATCAGATGGTTTGTTACAAAGGTCAATCCAAATCACATCACCCATGCCGATGTCTTCATGTGTCTAACGACTATACAGGGTGAAAATACAACAGAGACGTCCCCTCGCAAGCAACTTTACTATCGATACTACGCAATTCATGATCCGCACGAGTACCCACGCATTTCAGAACACCTGGTCAGCTGCGACACAGTCAAACCCCCTACTAGAATCGAACCAGAGGTCAAGAATCTGTGCACGATTGACTTCTGCTCTCCAATTCCATTTGACGATCTTCCCTTCAGCACAAATTCTCATGGCCAGAGGTATCGCTACTTTTGCTACTCATGCCTCACCAGCGTTGACGGGGCATCATTAAAGGTCGTTGTGGAAGTCAACGGCGAGACAATAACATCCAAAAATCTTTCACTCAATTTTGAAAGCCGTCCCCGACCTCGGGACCTTGCCGGAACCTCAATCAGAAACGTATCAGCCCCTACCACCTTGCCATTGCAGCAGAAGTTATCTGTTGGGGATGACTTGAGCAATAAGCCAAATCGAGAATCCGAACAAGACGACCGATCAAAGCTTGCCGGTGCGAGTAAAAGTGACAACGAGAGGAAGCAAAAGGCAAAGCATGTTGACGAGGATGAAGCTTTAACTGTCTTATCGCCGAACACTACCGTTCTTCTTAGAACACCGAGCATATCTCTTCCGCACAGGACCCTAAGACCTTCCTCGTCAAGGTGGTCGTTACCAAAGAGCGCGAGCACGATAAGTCTCTTGGAACACGATTCTCTCAGAGGTACGGAGGAAGGAGATAGAAGGAACACTTCCAACGAAGGCAGCTCAGTGAGCTTAGCGGAGAGGAGAGCACTAAGACGTGAACGTAGGAGAGTGGAAGCAGACCATATTGTTGAGGTTCCGGAGTAATGATGTCTTTTCTTCTTGCTATGTACCTTAGTCGGTATTAAATACGTGTACATGTGTTGAATATTCACTCAAATTATACCACGTCTTATCGCCATTCAACATGTATTTACGGCTATGCTATCATGAGAGCTGATGATATGTGTCGCCAACTAACCAGACTCTTGACAGACTAAAATCTACCACAATAATAGCTTGGGAAAATATAGTAAGGCACCAGTGAGATCTCGATCTATTCTGAAGCTCTTGTAGATACAGAACAGGACACGGGACAGTGCAAGCCTACCTTACCTGAATGTGAACCGGCAAGACTAGATAAATAGGTACGCACCCTAGAACCTGAAGTTCTCATGTAACATGTCCAGCGCGTAGCTGTGTATCAATATCTTTCGGTATACCCATTACCACTCTTGGGTAGCTGCCGAATTATGCCTTGCATCGGGTCCTCTGGTGGTTCGTAACTTTCTTTTTCGTTTAGGAACTTTATGGGCGTTGACGAATGATGACCGGCTCTACAGAAGACTCGCACCACAGACTACTAGAGCGTTGTGCTCGTTCTGAGGAGTTTCCGCTTTCTAGCTTCGCAGGTGTTGACAGCATCAAGTGTTTTCGGAGAAGGTTTTGCTTTCAGATAACTTGCATGCCTACCTGCTTGAGTAATCTTGCACCGTGCAAAATGAAGAACCTAAGTGTAAAAGCCGTGATATAAAGAACCTGGTCAGCGAGGGGACTGCAAGTTCCTCCGGCTTTGCAGTGTGTGATACGCAGTCAGGATCATGAACCATGAATCTATAGCAGTAAAATGAAGCTCGGATATTGGTACTGCATACTAGGTAAGCTAACTACCTCTACCTTATTATCATGTTAGTAACCAAGCTCAAACAAAGGATCAATGATGTTAGGACAGAATCCTGGGCTCGTCAATAACCTAGCACAATTATAAGAACTTCAAGATAGTAATTTCACTGTGAAGTTTGACACAGACTAGCATCTCCCGTCCTTCAAGTTTCTGACTTTTGACAGAGGTCAGGCGGGACCCACTTTACTGCCCCTGAGCCCCTGAACGTCGTTTGTTGACATACCCAAGCTACTCAAATCTTGAACCCCTTCAATCACATTCCATTCCAGAAAAACTGTCCCAACGTCTTGGATCCAACGACCAGGGCATAGCATGGCACCAACCATCCCCATCCCCAAGCCCGGGCATCCACCATGAGGCCAAGCTCAGTAGCATTGGAACCCCGCAAAACACACCCCGCACTTCCCCAGATGCCAAGTGCCGCGTTCAAGGGTCCAAATAGATCAAATGATCAACGTTAGACCTCCCGCAAGGCGTCCGCAACGGCCCAAACCACCAAAGACCGCTAGATATGAGGCATTCCGCTTTAAACCCGAGATCAGGCTGCACGCTGAATCTCGCGATGACGGCAGACGGATGACGGGAAGCTTCATGTTTGCGGGGACCCCGCAATTGATCCACCGTGCTGAGTCGCGAGCTGGGTCAGAGAATCATGGGGATGGGATGCCTGTTGTGCGGACGTGAACACCAGCGTTCTATTAATACAGGAAACTCACGATATCAGAGTGGGCTCAAGTCCACATCACACCCTCGCTCATTTGATACCCTATTTCCCTTCGGCTCATATTTTTATGCCAATCCCTCCTCTGTCTTGCATCTTTGAACCCATCCTCAACCTTTTCCGTTCCACCAAGACCACCACATCCACCATGTCTTCTTGCAACAGCAACAACAACAACAACAACAAAAACAACAACAAGATCTGCATTGTTGGTGCCGGCCCGTCTGGCCTGGCTCTTGGTGCTCTCCTCGAGAAGCAGGGCGGTTGCGACTACGTCATCTATGAAAGCAGTGCTGAGGATGTCCCACCTCGTGGTGGCTGCCTCGATCTACACCCTGGCAGCGGTCAAAGAGCGTTGAAGGACGCTGGTGTCTTTGAAGAGTTCAAGAAGTATGCCCGATACGGCGACGCCACCATCCATCGCCTCTTCAGTCACAAGGGCGAGAATTTCTTCGACTTTGGTGAGGGCCGTGATGCCCCTGAGATCGACCGCTGGGCTCTCAGAAAGGTCCTCCTCAGTGGCATCCCCAAGGGGAAGGTTCACTGGAAGAAGCTAGTTACTAGCACTACCCGTGACGAGAACGGGCAGATCGTTCTCAATTTCGCTGATGGAACTACTGCTTCGGGGTTCGGGCTTGTAGTCGGCGCCGATGGTACCTGGTCCAAGGTGCGGCATTTGGTAAGAAATCCCTCGTCGACCATTTCCCTTCCGCTCTGGAGAGTTTCAGCTACCTGGGTATTGACAGCGCTCGACAGGTAACCGACGCAAAGCCACAATATAGCGGCAATCTGTTCGTCACCACCAAGATCCTCCCTGGCGGTCCATACTACGAAAAGATGAAGGAGCTCTGCCGCATGGGGTCCATGATCGTCATGGGCAAGGGTGTCCACATGTTCAACAGCAGACAAGGCGACGGGCACTACCGTGTCGACGTCGGTATTCCCGGCCCCGAGAACTTTGCCGACGCCGGTCTCGTCGACATCAAGGATTGGGACGCGTTCAAGAAGTACCTTTTGGGAGATGACCTCTTTGGTCCTTACTCGGATGAGATGAAGGAGATCATCAATCAAAGTCAGGGTCCCTTCAGACCTTGGATCATGTACTACTTCCCCACAGACAGTCTCAACTGGAAGACTGTCCCGGGTGTGACGTTGATTGGCGATGCTGCTCATGTCACGACACCATTCGTTGGTGATGGTGTTAACTGCGCTATGAGAGATGCGATCATCCTTGCTGGAAAGTTGAAGGAACTGGGCGTCAACGAGGAGGCTGTTGCTGCCTATGAGAGGGAGATGTTCCCCTTCGCTATTGATGTTATCACGAGAAGTCTTCAGAGCCAGAAGATGTTCTTTGAGAAGGAGGCTCCCAAGACCTTCATTGAGGTCATGAGCTCTGGGAAGCCCTTGATTGGCACGACTGACCATATCTGAATACAATTTCTGTCTTACAATATCTTTGCTACTCTTTCTATGTCTCTTTGTCTTTGTGATGTCGTGATTTTGATGGCGATACCCTTGTTCCAGCTTGGTATTGACATGGGTTGAGGGTGTCGGGGATTTTGATCCCGGATGGATTTAGCTTCCTCGCGATACAATCCCGGACCGATGGCGGATTCACCACTCTGCTTGACAGGCCAACCAGACCACCATGATTGAGACCAACACCGTTAAGGCAGGTTTTCCAACGTTCAGGGCCCAAGAGAACCTACCCAAGCTTATCCAGGGGAATGGGAATGTGCATGAAACATCACGGCACTTGGTGCTGGTGCCATTTACAGTGCCCTCATCACAAGGGGTCACTAGTCCACGGTTGAAACTTCGCGAAGCATACATAGACTTTATTGTCGGTCACAAAAGATTCTTTATTCAATTCTTCGCTACGATATACCGCCCATGTTCCATCCTCACGCTTCTTCTGGCTTCTTCCAGTAAATCGAGTTCTCATACCGGCTAAGCCTCTGCCCAATAACCGGACGCTTTTTGAGGGTCTTCTCATCCTCCCCGCTCTTGACCCGTGCCAGCCACTCTTCAATATCAATATCCACGCCAATCGGGTTCGTCGCATATTCTGGCGTCTTCATGAACTCCAGAGCTTCATCCGCTGTGTCGAAGTTGTTGACCTGCATCTCAAACTCATTTCCATCCGGATCAAAGTAGTACATCGAGGTGCTCATGCCGTGGTTGACAGGCCAGTGGGGCAGGATGCCGCGGGCCTTCTTCTGCTCGTAGCTGGTGGCAAGATCCTCGAGAGAGTTGAGTGTGAAAGCGATGTGGTAGACTGTTGCTGCTGTAGGGCGCTTGTCGGCTGGGATCTGCTCGTGGCTGTCGTCTTGCACGATGACCATTCTGTGGTGCTCTTCGTCCCACTGGATGAAGCTGGCCTTGGCGTTTCGAAGTACCTCGCGTCCACCGAAGAAGTCGAGGTGCCACTTGACCATGGCCTCGAACTTTTCAGGGGTTGTTCTAATGCCGAAGTGGCCGATGGAGGAGGGACTGACGAGTTTCTCCGTGGTTGCCATGTCGAAGTGTTGCGTGACTGGGCCGAATGAGTTGCGAGATGTGACGGTTGTGTGATTGGCAATGGCAATCGTGCAATCTCAATGTGATGTTCTTCAAAACATGCTAACATGGAGACACCTCGTCTTATCAGATCAATAGTTGACCGTGGTGTGCCAAGGCGGATTTGGTCGTCACTACCTAGAGTCTTGTGGGGTGCGGCGATAAGGCGGGTGTTTTGATCTGGTGCTTTGAGGCCCGCAAACACCCGCCACAAACTGTCAGGCGGATCCGATCCATCGCCTGAGGGCAGGGGAGGACGACGATGATATTGAGACAGATCTTGCTCGAACTCTGAGTTTGGAGCTATTCCCGGCCCACACCTCCATCATCAGTTTTCTTGTACCAAAAGTTGTCGTCATGTCCGAACAGACCCCTATTCTCCAACACCCAACCATTGGGCCAATTCGTGGGGTGGTGAAGACAGTCGGTGTTACACAGTTTCTTGGTGTTCAGTATGCGACCTTGAAAGATCGCTTCTCACGTGCTGAGCTCTTGAAGTCGTACCCATCAGACCACCCCCGTGTCCAATACGGCATCTTTGACGCAACAACCCTCGCGCCCATTCCATTGAGCCCAGCGAACGGCTGCCAATGGGAGCACGCACTGATTCAGCAGTCTCTGGAGTCTCCAGAGTTTGGGCAGTCAGACACGGAATGTCTGACACTCAACATCGCTGTACCTGATCTCCAGGCAGACGGTCCTGAATGGCCAGTTTTGGCCCTTGTCCATGGCGGTGCCTTTGCGACGGGGAGCAGTTCTTACCCGCAGTATGATCTCGCTCGTATCGTCCAGAGAAGTGTCAAGATTGGGAAGCCAATCATTGCTGTGGGTGTCAAGTAAGATTCATCCACCAAAATCAAAAACCCCAGGTTATTGACGTTGCCCCAGTTACCGGTTGGGTGTCCCTGGCTTCCTCTACTCTTCTGCCATGAAGGCTGCAGGCTACAAGCCAAACAACGGCCTCGATGACCAGAGACAGGGCTTGCTCTGGATCAAACACCACATTGCAGGGTTCGGTGGTGATGAGCACCGCGTAACCTATATTGGCGAGAGTTCGGGGGCGGCATCGGGCACTTTCCATCTCCACTCCAAGGAGCCGTTGTTCGACCAGCTGATTTCGATGAGCGGTTCCTCTCTGGTCAAAGCCAAGCAGCCAGAACTTGCCGAGGGGTCGTTTAAGAGGGCGTTGCAGCTTCTTGACATCTCAGAAACTGACGAGACGGCCCAAGTTCAGCGACTGTTGACGGTCCCGATGGAGGATATCAGGGATAAGATTGCACGCAAAGTGCCAATGGCACCCATTGTCGATGGCGACTTGATTCCAAGAACCACATCCTATGCTCAGATGGCCGACCCAGCTCGGACAGCAGAGTTGTTCCCAGGAATGCAATGGTGCAAGCGAATCATGTTTGGCGATTGTAAGATGGATGGCAACGCCTACGGCCCAAGATTGGCTGCTAGAGTAGACATAATGCCAAAGACTATGGCGACTTTCCTGGCTGCCACTCTGGATCCCATCGACCGAGAGCTGGCGCCCAAAATCGTTTCTGGGTACGGCCTCAACGCCTCCGCCACCGCCAACTCGCAAGAGTCTCTCAAGGCTGTTCTCGACCTCGCAACCGACATTTGCTTTGGGCTTGGAGCGAGAACTTTCGTCAGGTCTTGGTCGCAGGCCGGGCTCGAGGCATTCCTCTGCCACTTCAACGTTCCGAACCCTTGGGATGGGCCGTGGAGGGGCCATGCGACGCACATCCTCGACATCGTGTTTGTCCTGCAGAACTACCGTGAGCTTCTTCCTGTTGGCCAGCAAAAGGCAGGCGACAAGCAGACCGAGGACGCCATTGCTTTCATCCATGGCGAGGCTCCTTGGCCAGCGTACAAGATAGGGGCACAAGAGGGCGCTATGGTGTATTACGCTCCTGAGCAGGGTGAAGAGGACCAGTCTCGGTTTGTCTCTGGCGAGATCCCTGGAGAGACTGGGCGAAGAGACATTTTGCAGAAGCTCATGAAGCAAGAGGTGCTGGACAAGGTCATGGACGCTTGGGACCTCTTCATGAAGGGCCCGAAATAGGGGGAAAAAAAGGAGTAGTCTAGATTTTCTTCGATAGTTTCTCAATGAATGTCATCGCCTTGCCTTGGACTTGTTCATCACACACCGTCACAGTGATCAGTTTGAGAAATCATCCCCGCACAGTTCCCCATGGTGTTCCCCGCATTTGTCGGAGAATTATCCTTGCAGGCCTGAACTGGCCATCGCTTCCTAGCACAGTGCTCGGCGAGCCAAAGTCCGCTTGACCCGAGCATACCGGCGCCGACGCCAAACCTGTTCTCCACATAACCTCCACAATACCCAGCTGTGTGCTTCTTTACCCCGCAATTCTGGGGCTCACAGGTACTGCTATGGCTATGTTTGCAAGCCCCGAGCTGCTGAGTTTCAAGTTTTGACAGCATTCCATCCACCCACCTTAAGGCCGGGAAATACAATCCATGTCCACCGCAACGAAACGATCGCGATCCAACGCTTCAGGCGCTGACAGTTCAGGTCCGGCGCCCAAGAGACCTACTGTGCGCAAACGGGCCCCCTTAGCATGCGAGGAGTGTAGGGTAAGAAAACGCCGGTGCGATGGAGCAATTCCCTACTGCTCTGGCTGCAAAAAGAGGCTTTCCAACTGTGTGTACCTTGCGGACATCCAGGAAAAGGCTTGGCAACATGAGTGAGTGCCCAGCCGACACCCTTCTTGATTACATAGTTGACTATCTATCCAGTATGATTCGCTCGTTAAGGTCCAGATTGAAAGAGCTTGAAGAACAGACCCAGCCAGCCGATCAGAGGAGTGAAGCCGAGTCCAGTATGACGGTGGAAGATGTGATCATCGTTCCAGACCAGTGTCGAGAGAATCAGGTGCCTCCCAACCCAGAAGTAACCGCCGAAGCCGGCAGTACTTTGCATCACAGCGTCAGCAATACTACACCACCAGCACCGCCGATGACGTCCATTCCAACTGCTGTTAACGCAAATACTTCGTCCGCACCTGACCGGCAGTCACTGGAGCCAACTCTTGCCGCAGACAAGCCCCCGTCCTGGATCGGACCTCTTCCCAGGATCACGGCCAGTCCATCAAATGGGATGGCGGCGCCTCCCACTCCTCAGGCATGTTCCTGTGACCGTCTGCTCGGAGTCGGCGCTGCTGCATGGTCCTTGCCATTGCGTTGACATGCTGATGAGCTCGTGGACCTGTACTTTCACCGCGTTCATCGTGCATATCCCATTCTTCATCAGCCTACGTTTATGGGGCAATATCGACAACTATGGGAGCCATCGCAAACAAACACAGGAACCTGCTCTGGCCTGTGTAGACAAAAGAGCCTGGTCAAGACCTTCCCGGCTACCGTCAATGCTGTCTTTGCACTGGCTTCCTGGTTTGCCCCTGGGCCCAGCACGGAAGAAAACAAAGTCAGGGCCAGTGGTTTCTTCAACATGACTCAAAAGTTTGATCTGCTCGAGATCATCGACGAAGAGGTTGGTATCGAGTCAGTCCAGCTGCTTCTGCTTATGGGCTTCTATCTCCAGAGCACAGAGCGGTTCTCAAAATGTTGGAACATCACTGGTCTGGCTATCAGGATGGCACAGAACATGAGCTTGCATATGAGTGCACACGATGCTCGGAAGAAGGGGCTATTGCTGTGTTGCCCCAGTCAGTTGGAGGAAGAAATGCGTGTAAGAGTCTGGTATGGTTGTGTGCTTTTGGATCGAGAAATCTCCATGTCGTTTGGCAGGCCACTCATGATATCTGGAGGTGACCAGCTGAGGCTTCCGGAGGCCATTGATGACGAGTACCTATCTGAGGTTGGGGGCAAACGAAATACTCAGCCAAGCAACTGTCCCAGTCAAATCTCTTCCTACATCGAGACCATCAAGCTCTACAAGTTTCTTGGTCAAGTGTTGGACAGAGAGGAGGATGGGGCGGAAACCCCAACAAACACCTGCTCCGACATGCAGGCCTTGCTTGATCTGGACACCAGGATCATGGAATGGCGAGATGCACTGCCTGGACACCTTCAGTATGATAACATTGCAGAGAATGGACAGCAGGACCTCGCTTCGACCCCAGGGAGCCTCTCTTCGCCGGACTTTTCAGGGCAAGCAAGGCGGCTCTACACACGATTTCTACACGTCAGAGTTCTCATACTGAGACCGGCACTCGAACAATTCTTCCAAAAGCAACGACATACACCAGCCATTCCGCAAGCAAGGGGCAATCCGAGGGTTGCGCGGGTACAAGACCTCATGCTGTCGGACATTGCGGCACAATGTGTGCTCTCAGCAGATTCTCTTGTCAAGTGTCTGGACATTCACATTCGCAGCCAAAGTCTTGCGGCTTGGTGGTACAACATAAGCTGTGGGTCCAATCATCCCAAACGCACGTCACAAGGAGACAACTTGCTAACGAACATATAGACCTCCATACGTGTGGCAGCACCCTCTTGATGGGCCTGCTATGCTCTTTCAACGAATCTGTCGTCAGGCGTGACTCACTCGAGCTCTGCCTTCGTCGCCTCTCACAGTATACGGTGCTGAGCAGCATCGCAACCAAATCCTACCACCTCTTGCAAGAAAGTTCGAAGCGCCTTCTCCCGGAGAGGGGTGCCTCCAATATACAGACACCTTCTTGCTCCGCGGTAGGCAACATGGCACGAGCACCCGACCCAGACCCAGCCACCCACCTTGGTCAGCCGATGACACCTGCTGGCATGGCGCCTCCAACCTCGGTTGAGGCTGGGACGTATATGCAGTATTCAAGTCTTCTCCTCGCGCCTCACAGGATATACGCCTGTCCACAACAAACGACGTCCAGCAGCAACCTGTTGCCATCGGCACTTGACCCTCTGCTTGCAGGTTCTGCAGACATGATGAATGATGGTGGTGGTGGCTTTGAGAATGTGCCGGAGTTCTGGGAGACACCTTTTCTTTCTCAGTTGGAGTTTTACCAACCTCATGATTTCACCCTCTCGCAGCTTGAGTAATCCGATTCACGGACAGGCTTCTGAACGATGCCACGACAATCAATGTAACATCAGCACAAGTAATAACCATAATAAACTACCTACGAAACAGTCCCTCGAGATACTTCAAGCCCCAAGCACGATCTCGCTCAACCCAAGAAGAGCCTGACACTCCTTCACACTGTCAGTTTGCAGCTCATCATACAGGTCAATCTCACTTGGAATCTTGCGCCCCAGCAACCCCTCAAGCTGCACACGGCTCCTCTTGCTCTCCTCTTCTGTCTTTTGGAGCTTCCTCTCAGTGCCACCGTCCTTCTCCCCGCCAAGGTTGGAAGTGAAAATACCCGCCGCCGAGAATGGCAGGAAATCCTCATATGTGATCGGCTCGCAGGTCACAACCCCCTCTTTTAGAAGTCTATCCATGTGCACTGACCCCTCCAGCTTACGAGCGCCAGCAACGGGTGCCTTGTCCTCAGCAACCCGATAGCGGAAATACACCAACCCTTCCTTCCTAAGAACCTCCCAGTCATCAGGGTACTCGGCAAACACCTCCTTCAGCACCTTGTCAGAGTCCTTGTCTTCCTTTTCACTCCGACCAACAGCCTTGGCGAGCAAAGCATCGTAGAGCTCCCTGCCTTTTCTGGTCACAGCAGCACCGCGCTGTTCCACCTCTCCAAACCGGGCGGTGTGCGTCCCGTCAACGGCGTGGTCGGCGTCACCAGCAAAAGTGACTCTTTCTTCCAAAGCCTTGAAGCTGGTTTGTCGAAGGAGGATCTCGCACTTCCTCTTGGGAGGTCCCTCGATGCGGTCTTTTGCTGGGAGGCCCTGGGAAATCATCCCTGCTTGGACGGCATCGATGTCCAGGGTGCGCGGGGTGAGGTGGTTGATGTGTGCTGAGGGAAAGCAGACAATGTCGGCCACCATTGGGTGCTCCTTTTTCAGGGTGAGGTACGTCTCCAGGGGAACAGAGGATCGGGAGTGCCATTTGAAGATCTTGAGAGATTCGGTAATCAGGTTGTTGGCGTCTTCGGCCGTGAGGTTGGCTAGAGCAGAGGTCTCCGCTTGGTCGATCAGCTCGATAAGCCTGGAGGAGAAGAGCTGTCTGGTGGAGAGGATGGAGGTGGCCATCTCCCGGACTTCCGGGGAGGAGATGAGGTCTGGTCGGAGGACGGTGGTGAAGACTCGGAAGGGGTTCTTTCGGAGGGATTCTTCGGTCTGGGGCCGGAAAGCCGTGCCGTGGAGGGGAAAACCGACCATTTTGAGGTCGTAGTAGCCGACGGGGAACATTCCCATGACGGCGAAGAGGCGGCTGATCATGCGCATTTCTTGCTGGGTGCCCAGTCTGATGGCGCCATGGCGCTCAAGCTGGAAGCGGGAGGGGAGGTCGTTGAGGCTTTGGCCGCGGGACTGGAGGGTGGTGGTATCGACTTGGTTGACGACATCTACGAGCTTGCCGTAGAGGGGTACTTCGGTTCTGTACATCTCTGAGAGGGCCTGCACGAAGCGAGTCCGGAGGTGATCTGGATCCCATCTGTGTGGTGTGTGAGTTTGGAGGCCAAAAACTTGAGAGGAACATAAAGATGGCGTACGGCTTTGGCTCCTCGTGGAGGGCAGATCCGTTCTGTGGGATAGCTGAAGGCATTGTGGATGTGGTATGTGGTTACTTTTGTCAAATATTCTGTGAGATGTTCTGTGGGATATTCTGTGGATTGGATAGGTAGGTATCAACATGAAACACACAGGCTAGACAACAGCAAGCAATCGCTGGACTGAGCAGTAGATAAGGGAGATCTGCACTCTGCTATCAAGATATCGGCTACGAATACATGATGAAACCTTGAATAACAAGGAGCCGGCCTTTCCCGGAAGGGTTGTTGCGGTGAGTTGAGTGACCACATCGTGCTTGTTCTAGAAGGTCATGATAAGGTACGTACCACGCATGCTAATGCATGCCAAGCTTCTAATCTGCCCTGTATGCTATCTCCGCACGGTTTGCCACGGCTCAAAGCAGGCGGTGATGGTGCGGAACCAGGTATGCCGCCTTGGAGTGAGACCACCGGACTGTTGCTTGTTGTTGCTTACGGCCATGTGACATGTTAGCAAGGTCCATGGTGCTATGTGACACCTTGATTGTCCTGATGCTGTGTTGCTTTGCATGGTAACGTTCAAGCATGGTCAACAGCATCACTCAGAGACTCTAGAGCGGGCTTTAAGCACGTCAAGAGAGAAACCTTCTTCTTCACAATGTTCAAATCATCTCACAGTGAACTATTTGTAACTTATAGGCCAGCAGCTCTTGTTGCCTCATTACACGAGCCATCAATGCTGAGCAGCTGCAAATTGACGACGTTGCCAATGCTCTCACAGATGTTACCTCCGTGTCTGGGGGCTGAGGCAATATTCCACTTTCTATCGTAGAGACCGGCTTTCAAGCTCAGGGCAACCAGGTAAAACGGGATTTCCATCATAATACTTCAAGTATCAGACATGATAACTTGTGTTGGAAGGATGGTTGGGTAGGTGTATTGTTGCTATCAAGACTGTTTGCTTCATGCCTACACGAGCCACTCCTTGAACCACGTCACCGCCGCCCTCCGCGCTCTCTCGAGACCCTTCACCTCAGCAGGGTTCTCTCGGTTACCCCTGATGGAGAAACCGTGGCTCAGGCCAGGGAAATACTGATAGTCAAAAGGCACACCCAACTTGGGGATCTCAGTCACAGCGTAAGTCTTGAGCTCTTCGGTGAACTGAGGATCAATTTCGGGGGCGATGATCTGCACTGGTACGCCAACATTGGAAATCTCCTCCTTCGTCAGGAAAGTTGGGTGAGCCGCAGCGATGCAGTCGACGAGCGGAGCATCCGACTTGACACCAAGCTGGAAAGCAGCCCAGCCGCCATAGCAATAGCCAATGGCACCAAGCTTGCCGTGCTGAGTGCGGAGGTGCTTTGCCAAAGAAACCATCTCTGGTCCGCGGACGGCCTTGTTGTTCCTCTCCATGAAGTTTGGGAGATCAAGTTTGCCCCACTCTGCCGGGTTGTTGATCAGATCTGCGGACAGAACAACACCACCAAAGCTGCGAGATTGTCAGCGACAGGAGCTCAAAGATGCTGCGGAGAGTAGACTCACAAGTCGGGGACATAGACGGTCGCCCCAACCTCTGCGGCATAGCTGTCGGCGAGCAACCTTGTGTTGTCAAAGGTCCAGCCATACAGATCGTGAATCACGATGATGCCTACATCCGGGTTGGAACCAGTGACATAGCATGTCTGGCCGCTCACCTCAACCTCCTTGCCCTGCGGCTCGCCGTCCCACTTAAAGCCCCTCAAACAGCATTCGCTCATCGTGACGGTTGGGAAAGAATATTTGCTAGGTAGGATGATTTTTTGATGGTGTTTGCAAAACTGGCAGTCGTACGTCGAGCAAAAGGGTGGATGCACAAAGTTACACATGTGCTGTTTACCTTATCGTGTTTCCACAGTGGAAGACGGCATCATGTTATCGCAAAGTCCCGGCGAAGTCGGACATGTGCGGACCCGCAAATGGACCGCTTCCGCTCTACCTCCGCCCCAGATCCGTGCAACTCCACTCGGGAAAGTGGACGCTGCATGCGGCTATCTGTCCGGGGAGGGATGAAATCTGGTGGAAACAATTCGACGTGCTCGCTGTGGTCATGCTCCTTTCGAATACTCTGACTGGATTTTGTGTCTTCACTTCAGATCTTCAACCGAGTCTCACTTGAAATTTTCCATCTCGCTCCACTTGTTTAGCGACATCACAAACCAACACAATGTCTGTCCCAGCAACTCAGAGAGCCGTGGTGGTTGAGGAGATTGGTGGCCCCGAGGTTCTCCAGTTCAAGTCCGACTGGGCTGTCCCACAGCCAACCGAAGGCCAGGTCCTCGTGAAGAACGAGATTTCCGGCATCAACTATATCGACACATACTTCCGCACCGGACTCTACCCATCACCAAAGCCTGAGGTCCTGGGCAGAGAAGCAGCCGGCACAGTTGTGGCACTCGGGCCGAAGACGGAGGAGTTCAACCTCAAGGTCGGCGACAGAGTCATTTGGCTCGCCAATGCTGGTTATGCTGAGTACTCTGCGGTCCCAGCAGCCAAGACCCTCAAGCTGCCAGATACCGTGTCTTACGAAGATGCCACTGCCAGCTTCATGAGTGGTCTGACAGTGCTGGCTCTCGCCAGGGAGACCTACACAGTCCAGCCTGGTGACTGGGTTTTGCTTCATGCGGCGGCAGGCGGTGCTGGGTTTTTGATGACGCAACTGCTCAAGCACGTCGGTGCCAAGGTCATTGGTACAGCTGGTGGCCCAGAGAAGGTTGAATTGGTCAAGAGCCTCGGTGCGGACCATGTCATTGACTACAGGAGCGAGGAGGGCAAGGACTGGGTCAAGACAGTGATGGACATTACTGGTGGGAGAGGCGTCGATGTGGTCTATGACTCTGTTGGCAAGGACACATGGGAGGGCAGTTTGGCCGTTGTCAAGAGGAAAGGGACCATAGTTTGGTTCGGTAACTCTAGTGGTCCCATCCCACCATTGCCTTTGAAGTGAGTTTTGATGCCTGTCTGCAAAATGATCTCAGTGACTAATCAGGTTGCAGCCGCCTTGCACCAAAGTGTATCAGGATTGCCAGACCAACTCTTTTTGGCTACATTGCCACCCGTGAAGAGTTCGAGGGCTATGCCAACGAGCTCTTCAGCCTTCTCACATCCGGCGCACTCAAGGTCAAGATTCATGGCCTGTATTCCCTCTCTAATGTCAAGCAGGCACACATTGTAAGTTCATTCTTTCACAGGTGACAAAATGAGTTGGAAACTGACTTGACCTGATGAACAGGACTTGGAAGGAAGGAAGACGACTGGCAAGATTTTGATCAAGGTTTCTGAATGAGGCAGTTCATATTTTTATAAGAAATGAGAAAATCGGTAGCGACGTCAAGGTTAAACGTGATTCTGCTCCAACATACCCGACTTTATCGTTATTGGATTGTGGGCTGCCACACATGTAGTTCCTGCAGTGATTGGATTTTCTTGACATCCGTTTAACCTGGAAAAAACCTGGACTGATTCGAGATCCGTCTCAATTTACCATCCGGAGACTACACATATTTTCTCAGGCGCAACAACCGATTTGCAAAAGTGCTGGTACGTTGTCCGGCATGTTTGTTTACTTTGGGAAGGGGTGAAAAAGGGGTCAACCCGAACCCTCTCAACACCCTTTCTGTACCATCACATCAACTATTGATGGAACAACCGGCGCATCCGGAATGGCATCATTGCATGCCTCAGCTCCGTCAGTATCGCCTCTTCGGGGCAACATAATCTCCGTGATGGCGTGCGAGCTGCGAGTGTTCGATCTCCGATCCTCCAAGCGGGGGGAGAAAGTGGATTTGCGGCAGCGGGCGGAATTAAGGCGGGAGGGGGATGTGTTATCGGAAAAGGGGCAACTCAAATCAACAAACAATGACAACAAAAGTCATCATCCAAGACATGTCATCAATATTGCGTCGCTCATTCACTGCCATCTCATCGTTGTCCAAACAGTTTTCGTCATCATTCTCCACACGTACCATGTCGTCGTTTGGCCGTCTCATTCGCTTCCGCGATGCTGCAGGCAACTCTCGCTTTGGCGAGCCCAAGATCTCATCGGTGTCCGAGTTCGATGAGGCTGTAGCAAAGGGCACTCTGGAGGCCACCGTTTTCGAGGGCAGCAGCCCCTTCAACGTCACACCAACATCTGAGGTGGTCAAGGTGCAGGAAGTTCTTCCCCTGTTGACTGTTGAGGATGTGCCAATTGTGAAGTGCGTCGGACTCAACTACATCAAGCACAGTAAGGTCGCACGGGATATTTCAGAGATTATGCTGCTAACAGGAAATTTTCAACAGTTCAGGAAGGTGGCCGCAAGCCTCCTCCATACCCTTCCATTTTCATCAAGCCACGCGCTTCCATCGCAGGCTACAAGGAGGATATCCCCATCCCAAAACTTGCCCAAGATGACCAGCTCGACTACGAGGGTGAGCTGACCATCGTCATCGGCAAGACTGGCAAGAACATCCCCAAGGAGAAGGCTCTTGAGCACATTGCTGGTTTCGTCGTTGCCAACGATGTTTCTGCTAGAAAATGGCAGCGTGACCCCGCCTTCGCCGGCGGTGTCCCACAGTGGTGCTTCAGCAAGGGCTTCGACAAGTTCGCCCCCGTCGGCCCTCTGCTTGTCTCCCCCAAGATTGTTGGCAACGCCGGCAACCTCCAGCTTCAGACCATTGTCAACGGCGAGGTACGACAAGACACCAACACCAACGATCTCCTTTTCAGCACTGAGGAGATTGTTGCTTTCATCAGCCAGGGTACCACTCTCGAGGCTGGCACCATCATCATGACGGGCACACCTGCGGGTGTTGCCATGGGTATGAAGGAGCCAAAGTGGCTCAAGAATGGCGATGTTATTGAGGTCAAGATTGAGGAGTTGGGCAGTGTCAAAAACAAGATGGTCTTTGAGTAGGAGTAGCATATGTTCAATATGACTGAGTAAAAATCCGTGGAACCAACTTGGCCTTTATTGTTTCTCTGACAGAACTGCGTTCCGTGTGGTCACCACAAATCTACTTGTTTTTAAAATGCCATACCGACGTTCTGATAGCATTTGCAAGGTGCCAGGCATCAGATACACAAGGTTCCTACCGATCGTGGTATGCTTTTACTTTGTTGTTTCAACTTCACTTTTAAAGACAAGTATGAGTGCACAGTTGGGCAAGCTGGATACGAAGATAGAACCAAACACATACCACCACATCACAGCGTAGCGTAAAGCGGACATGATGACAAAGATATATTGAAAACCAATTAAGCACCTGGCATTGTGTCGAACGACTTGACCACAGCTGCCGCAACTGGCATCTTTCTGGAGGCGAAGAACTCGGCCTTGTACGGGAACTTGTCGAACCTGGAGAGAGCAGTACTGTCAGCTGAACCCTTCTTGCCATAGCAGCGGGATATTACTTACCCATTCTCCAGCAGAGCTGTCCGAACGATCCAATGGCTACCGGAATGCTTCATAGGAATTGTCCACAATGTGCAACCGCACCGAGAACAGAACTTCTTGTGTTTCTCACAGCCACTGAGGTTGTCTTTCAGAATCCATGTATTGATATGCTCGCTTCCTTCCAAGACGTGCACATTTTCGCACTTGAACTTGGCTGACTGAGAGATCGTTAGTATGAGATCTTGGAAGTCACTGGGGGGTTTCAAACTTGCGATTTGACCTGGAGCACCGGCATTCTTCTTGCAGTGTGAGCAGTAGCAGATAAAGATGGCGTCAGGGGTTCCCTGGACGGTGAATTTGACGCCTTCACAGAGGCAAGATCCTTTCACAACTTCAGCCATTGTTACCAACAACAGTGGCAACTCAAAATGATGAATGGCATCAACAATAAAACGGCGTCGAATTCGAGAAACAAAACGAACTTTACTTCTCTTCTGTGTCTTGGTGGACATGACCCTCATTCCAGGTTCGGGTTAACAGTGTGCGGATTTTGGGCGGCTTCCAACCCCATCTCCCATCTACACACGGCAAACAACTTCCGGTCATGGGACCAATAGCGGAGCCGATCATATGAGGAGAATAGTGCGAGGCCATGATCAATATATGTTGAAGCGATATCCATTCACGACGACAACCCACCATCATCACCAACTCGAGACACAACCAAACAAGACCCAATTTACAATGGCAAACCGCGCCAATGTTTCCGGAGCCAAGAGCTCAACCCTCTCAACCCCCTCAACACTCTCAACAGAAGCCCAGTTCTACACCGACATCGCCTCCAAGAATGTCGAGCCCCTCTGGACCGTCCTCAACAAGATGGTTCCACCGAAGCCAAACCCCAGCTCGGTGGTCACCGCCTGGCCCTACGAAGACCTCCGACCCGTGCTCATGCAAAGCGGGATTGTCGTTTCAGCAGAGGAGGCAGAGCGTCGTGTGCTCATGCTGGTAAACCCTGCCATGCAGGCACCCTACACCACCGACACCATCTACGCCGGTCTTCAGCTCATCCTGCCAGGAGAAACCGCCCCTGCTCACAGGCACGTGGCCTTTGCCCTGAGGTTCATCGTCGAGGGATCTCGCGGTTTTACCGCGGTGGAGGGGCAGAAGCTGATGATGGAGCGTGGAGATGTCATTCTCACCCCGTCTTGGCACTGGCATGACCACGGCAGTGAAGGTGATGGGCCGATGGTGTGGTTGGACGGGCTGGACTTGCCCGTGTACCGCTTCCTCCCTGTGAACTTTGCCGAGAACTACGAGGAGGCTAGATATCCCAGTGAGCTGTCCGACAACAGCAACTGGAAGCTCCCCTGGGCTCCGGTACAAGCTGTGTTGGATGAGAATAAGGAGACTGAAACTTATGCGCGGTATGACTACAAGTCCGGGGAGCATGGGAAGCACCTGTCCAAGACTATTTCTGGCCAGGCGGAGAGAATCAACGCCGGGGCCACCACCAAGAAGGTGAGGGAGACGGTGTCATTTGTGTATCATGTGTATGAAGGAGAGGGGTACTCGACTATTGTCTCGCCGGAGGGAAAGGAGGAGAAGGTTCAGTGGAAGGGCAAGGACACTTTTGCTGTTCCGGCGTGGAGCACAATCTCTCATACTTGCACGCAAGAGTGCGGGAGTGCGTATCTCTTTGCTGTTAATGACAGACCGATGGTTGAGTCTTTGGGATTGTACAAGAGACAAGAGCTGAAGTAGTGTCATATCTTAGCCAAACATAGCAATCATGTACGTACTTTAATATCCAACCGCATACAAAGCCCCCTTATTTCTGCTTCTTGATGAATGGTGCCTTTGCCAGAGCGTTGGCTTGAGTCAACCAAACCGGACGCCCCAGTGTGATGAGTTGAGGACCAAAGTCGGCCAGCAGTTCTTCAGCAGATGGACCACTGTCCCTGATAGCCTGATACACCTCTTGATCGGTTCCAAAAGTAGCCACATACCAGATATTCTTCCACGTCTTGATTGCCTCCTTGGCTTCGCTCGAGTGACTTTGAACATCTTTTGCAATCATATAAAACGAAGACCTTTTCGCGTGGCCACACTTTGGCTTGTACACACGAACGTCAGAGAACCTGGACATTGTTTGCAACAAGCAGGCGATCCTCCACATCTCGATCTTGTGTAATAATGCGATGAATGTTCCTCCTGGACGCAAATGCTCCAAGGCCAACACAAAAGAACTGTTTTGCAGCCTGATTGACTCCCGCTTCTCTCGGTAGCTTGCTCTCTCTTGGGTGCGGAGGACGTGCCCGTCACAGATTGCGATATCGTATTGCTCGTCGATCGTGAACTGGCGAGGCATGAACTTGTTGTGATCGGGGTGCGAAGCGGGAATCTCTTCAATCTTCACGCCGAAATCTTCTGCTAGCATTGTGACGTCGCAGTAGTTGATGTCGATGGCATCGTTATTCTCGTGAGGCAACAAAACCTTGTAACCGCCCTGCGAGAAGGGAAGGGTACAAGCTCGTACTCGAAGGTCGGGGTCGTTTAGGGCCATGGCAGCGGCAAGAAAGCCACCTGGTGCAGCACAGACATCCAGAATCGCGCCAGGCTTGGTAACTGTAGTGAAGCAACCATCTGCGGCATTGTGAAGCTCGGCGGCAATCCTCTGCATGAGGCCAAAGTGAAACTGAGAGGACTGTTGGTCGCCGATGTTGTCGGCATTGGAGCGTTGGGCCTGGAAGAATCTGTCCGCGGCTGGGTTCTTCCAACCCTTTATGAACAGTGTAAGTCAATCATGTCTTGAGGTAGATAGAGTTGTATATATAGATAAAGAGAAATATAGAAAAATGACATGCCTGCTGGCGAAGACGATCAAGCCTTCGGAACTCTGGGACTCTCTCTCGTAGGTACGGGATAATGACGCCCTTGTTGTCCGGCGCAGTGTCCTCTATGGTGGTTGAAACGACGTGTGTTTCTCCAGGATTAGCTGTGGTCAAGGCGCCATGTTCCCAGTTTGCAGCTCTGTCCATTTCGTCTGAAGTTACAACAAAAGGCGGTGTGAAGAGTTGGGTTGTTGTTCAAACAAAGAAGTTGGCGGCCTTCCTTGGTAAAAACAACCCCCCAGCGCCTTTAACAATCATGGCCATGGCCAGACGTGACCCGAAATCATGGATGCAATTGAGGCATAGTGTTTGCTGAGGCCTACCGTGAGGCGGACTTGTGTGACAAGATTGACTGGCTGATGTCCTTCCTTGCGTCACATTCCAAGCACCTGGGTTCGGCAAATCAAACTTCTTGGCTGGCCAGAAACCACAGAGCAAGCTGCTTCACCAATGATGGTGCGCTAAGCAGGTTGGCAACAAACAGAGGTCGAGCAATAGCTATGGGTAAGTGCAGTGGAGAAATGCATCGAGGCCTACAGTGAAATTTGTTATCTCATCTCATTGGGTGAAATCGAGGTGTGCTCTGCCACCAGCCGTTTGCTCATTGATGGCAGCATCTACCTAGGTACCTATCGAGGTGCTTCTGAAAGACTCGACGTCATCCATATTGTTCATATATTAAGTCTAACAGAAATGGAGGAGACGCCATCAGATTTCTTTCTTCTGCTTTCATCTCCACTGATCACTGGATGCAACGTCTCTACCGGTCCATACACCTCCCGTTCCGACTCGACCATGAGCTCCAACCACCCCGAGCAGACATTCCCCCACCTTCACAATGCTGTCATTGGCAACTTAAACAACATTCTCGTGCCAAGACCTTACTTCAAACGAGGGAGCCGTGAAATCCTCAGCAATTTTACCAAAAAATACTCCACCTTTGTGATGGCCAACTTCACCTGTGAAAATTCTCAATGTTCCAAGGCTGGCTGGAGGAGCGGAAAGGTCACCATTCTGATCCGGGGCTACGAAAACAACGGATATCATGCCACTATTTTCAACCAGCGATGTGAACGATGCAAGAAATTTGGTAGTTTGGAGTTGGATGAGTCTGCCTACATTGACCGAGTCTGTTATCGACTCAAAAAATGGGCCGGGATCAGCTTGGAAATGCGAAGCTCAAGGGACGGAAAAGCAACGCCGCCTCACAAGAAAGACCTATGTGAAGGGTGCAGAAGAGGGTTTTGTGAAGGCTGATTGTGCGTGGATGACGGCATGATGTGAAGTCTGCAAATATACGGTACATGTGCTTGGATGTCGATGGGATGGCAAGGGTCTTGGAGAAGACAAAACTCCCGTTGATTTTGGGAAGTCATTTGTATTTCACATTTGAATATACTTCAGTGTTTCATTGCTGTCAGTCGAAGCTTGGGTCAAATCAATTGCCCGGTGCCAACATGAAGGCATCCCGTCAATTCTTGGTCAGTTCACGCGAAACTTCTGGGCATGCCCGACAGGGATCCATACTGGATATCATCATGTTCGAGAGACTGTTCAACATTGAATTTTTCTCTTTTCTTCCCTTCTACACCGTCCGATATTTTACCAAACTTGACCAATCCAACAAACCCCATGAGTCCATTGTTACCAAGCTTGAAAGCCGGCCACAGTGTTGCTCACGTGGGTTACCGCCTTTTTCATGTTCTTTAGCTACATCGCCGTTCGACCACGTCGGAACCTTTGTTTGTCATGTGCAATGGGGACTGCAGGTCACCGCAGTTTCGATTGTAGAATTGTCACTCCGACATTTGATGGCCACATGTCTGAGAATCTGGTAGGTTGACGGGGACATATAAACAGCCTGCTTGAGCTCACCGAGACTCTTTCTCCGCACATCTCTCACGACATCGTCAAACCTATTCAGAATCTTGGACCCAGTTTGCATTGTTTGTTAGGAGCTCGCTTCCACGACTTCTGGTAGGTCGCTTTCATGAACGTCATGTTGGAAAAAAGTCGTACTAATTCTCGCTTTCAGCCTCTTCTGACCTTCAACGGACCAAAACCTAGGTGGGGAGCTTGACAGACTTATCGGAGCATCTGTACCAGCTCAGACCCGATCCCCGATGTCGCCATATCTTCATCGCTACTCGGAACTCACTCGTCCCTTTGAACTGCTCGTTCAAGATGGCCAAATTGCTGTTCTTCCCGGTCAAGGGAAATGTATTGCTACTTTTGGACTTGGGTGGGGTGTGTAGTTAGGAGCAGCACTGCCTCTTCCACCCTACCTCCCTGTCAATTTCAGCTTGGAAAAAATGTGTTTGATTTCGAAATGTCCAAATTAACCAGCTTAAGTTCGAATACCTAGAAGTGGAAGAGGCGGCCGGAGCGGAAGGCGAGGACAACTAGTCCTCAAGGCGTTGTTGGGGCCTTTCCCTATTTTGCAACTATCTGGCTTCTTTCAACAACTGTTACTAGAAAAGCATCGAAGTTCAACATTCTGGTTCCAGTATGCTTATGGGCGTGATCTTACATGATATAACTGTCCCCACCCCCATTGGGTCTCCAAGAAAAACAACACTAACTTGTAAAGTCTTACTACAAACCTCGCACTGCGGGCTATCCGACATTGTGAGAGGCTCAAATATTTGTTGTATGGTGCAAAGCTGTTCGTAAATGAGGGATTGTAGACCTAATTACGAGAGAATTGGGAAAGTTGCCAGCGTAAAATCAATGCTTCAGTGCGGCTGTGTGGCCGGAAGGGAGCACCCGAAACTCGTTGCTGCCTTAAGGTAGGTGCTGAGCCCAATCTATTGGCACGAAATTTTGTCGAAAATGTGCCACCTACTTCGTAACGAGTAGGTATAGACGGTACCGGGTGTTCATGCCATCCAATTTTAATTCAATTAGGGCCAGGAATCTATCAACACAGTATCATAGGTAGGTAGGTATATTGATCCTCGCAGCATTAGGCCATGAAGGCATCTCCTACCAAGGAGCATGTTACGGGGTTCTTGTGGCAGAACAATTCGTTAAGTAGGTAAATACTAGATAGCTACCAGGTACCCTACCATAACCGCCCTGTCCACAAATCGCTCTACTCCTCAACCTTGACCTCCCCCTCCTCAACCTTGACCTCCCCCTCCTCAACAACCCACTCAACCCCACCCCCCCTAACCCACCCACCATAATCCTGCATATACCTCCGCTTCCCCGTCCTCTCCTCAACCAAAACCTCCCCCTTTTCCACGCCAGCCCACCACATCCCCTCCAAACTCTCCCTATCTAACCCAACCTCATACTCTACCCCCGGCTCCAACCCATCCACCCCCGTAGGCTGCACCGACCTCCTCACCTTCCTCTCCCTCCCCTCATCATCCACCTCCCACCCTTTCTCCGCCATAGCCTTGGGCACAGGCCGCACCTTATTCACACCACCACCTCACCCAAACAGGGTTGACAACTCAACCGGTGTGTCGGGGTACAGAGTCAGGTAGAATGCCTCGTCTGTATCGCCCCTGATGCGCGTGATCGCGGGGCGGTTGACGCGGAGGGAGCAGGTTTCGACTTTTTGGCGGGAGGGGAGGGCGTGAATTGTGATTGTGCGGTTGGTAAGGGCGGAGGGGAGGGATAAGGGGTGGTTGCAGGTGAAGAGGGTGATGGGGTGAGGGGCGGTGGAGGTTATGGTGAGGGTTAGGAGGGGGGGGTAGGGAGTAGGTGGTGAAGGAGTGGGTTGGGGGCGTGTGGGTGATTTTAATGTGGACTTTGGGGGGAGGGGAGGGGGGAGTGGTGGTTGGGGAAGATATGGTTGGTGATGCTTTGTTGTTGATGGACTGGAAGATGGATATTTGTTGGTTGAAAGGTTGGTGAGCTAAAGTTCGTTCGGTCAATTCCTTTGAGATGTCTGCGGTGAGTTGGAAAGGAAGGATATTGCGAAATCGGCAATGAAATAGGTTCTCATAAAGTCTCCGTTGGCTTCAAAAGAAAAGGCCGACGGCGAGAATCAAATAATAGGGTCATCGGCAGAGCGTAAAGGAAGGCAAAAAAGAGAAGAACGGTTTGCGTGGCACAGTTTTATACACCAGCTAAGCAGACCCCGCATTTTGTGTGATCGAATACCGGCTTTCATCCCAGCAATCTCACCGAGCCAAATCCCAAACCTTCAGGAAGCCTCTTCCATGACGTCGTCCCAGCTTCCTCCTGGATCCATTCTTTCAGTACGGGGTAGAAAAGCAATGAACATCCTGTCTTGAGACGCGGCGCAGTTAGAGAGGACTATGGTCTTCAACCACAAGCTGACATCCGCCAGGGCCGAAGCCTGTTTCAGCCTGTCATACAGAACCAGGCAAGATGACTTTGTGTATGATCAACAGCCTTGTAGAGGTCCAACATAACTGCACTTTGTTGATGCTTGCAGTAATGAGATCAATGTATATAAACCATTGTCCGATTACTTCAACAGAGCACAATGAATAGACACAAACACCTCACTCCTTTCTTCTCACATCTCTCTTCAGCATTAAACGAAAGAAATGCATCCCCTCCGAGCCCTCCTGCTCACCTCGAGTCTGGTTCTCGCCCACGCCAGCGTCCTACCAACCACCCCAAAACAAGGCCTCAAAGTCATCTCCAAACGAGCAGAACCCGACGCCGGCGAGGACTTCCCCGAAGACGAAACCCCCCTCCCCAACCGTCTCAACAAAGTCGAAACCGCCTTCCGCGACGCCATCGAGCTCACCTCCGTCGTCCTCTCCGTCATTGAAACCGACAAGACCATCTATCAGCACTACTTCTCCCCAGATGATCGCTAAGAAATCACCCGCATCTTCCGCGACTTGAACAACAACGGCGAGGGCCATGAAATGCTAGGGAATTACCTCGTGCAGACTACTGATCTTGACAATGCTTGTGGCGACCGTGGACTGGCATACTCGGGTGACTATAATACTGATCGCCCTTTCATCGTGATCTGTCCTCGGGCGTTTAACAAGAAGGCGATTAATGACTTGGAAGGGAAAGACCGTGGAGATGAGGACGCGAGGGACTTTTATGCAGGTTGTGCGGAGGATGGGGGGGATATTGGGGATCATGTCAGCTTTGTGAGTGAAGCTGAAGAGCCTGCCTTTGATGGTAATGACTGTTGCTAACATGTGTGGATGGTGAAAGCACTTCAACACCCTTGGCATGACGCTCTTGCATGAGTACCTGCACTATGACCTGATCATCGGGGCTACCTTTGGGTCTATTGTTGACGACCCTGATGGACAGCCAGGTTATGGGCTTGTTGCTGTTTATGATCGGTTGCCTAAGGAGTTGGCGAGGGTGAATGCTGATAGCTATGCTTATTACGCAGCGGTAGGTCATACAAAGAGGAATTGTGAACAGAATCGGTACTGACATTGTTGATAGGAGGTGTACTGGTCTTTGATCTGCCAGAAGGAGTTCCAGGCCCCGCGTGAGGGTGTTGATGATGCCGATCCTGATTGCGGTGACCAAGCCTGCGAGACTTGATTGCCCACTCAAGTCGGGTACCTACCTACCTACCCCTGGAAGCTTTCAAGCGATAAATCATAGTGCACTACTGTGAGACTTCTGAATTGCTTCATGTAGAATACGAATGCGTTTTGATCTTTTGACCAAGAAAATGCCCAAGTTATCAGTTTAATTTAAGCTGAAATATATTTCTGAACAAAAGTCCAAGCTTTTTTTCTCACTACCTTAGGTAACCAGTAAGATTTGTAAGAAATATTCACTCGGTAAAGCTACCTATTCAGAAGACGAATTTACCGTTAACCGTGATACAGTCTTGATGGGTGGCTTGAAGGGTAATAGCCACAACTTCAGATCTCCACATGGCGTCAGCCCCCTTTCCCAAGCGTTGGGCGACTTCAACCATTCGGTGAAACTTTGAGTCATGAAGTCTGAACTATTACAGTGGATAGGGTATTTATGTTAGATCCAGCGAAAAGAATATATGCATGTTTGTACCTGCTTGTCGTATCTACTGCTCCGGTTTGCTTGCACCACTCCGACCAGGCGAAGACGGCAACTCTACGGCCTCTGGTGAATCGAGTCGAGGAGGCGAACTGAGAGGTGGCGGGGAGTCCAACGGAGGTGGAGAGCCCAGGCGTGGGGGGGAGAGCTGCTGCGGTGGTGTTTCTCCCGAGTTGTCCGCTCCAATCCTCCTGCGCTTGCCGCTGGATGATGCCTGCGACAGCTCGTCTTCTGAGGCCTCCGAGTCCCTAGAACGCTTCGTTACAACCGGCAATCCCCTCTCGTCATATGTCAGTTTGACTTTCACCGGTTTCTCCGGCTTGTAACTGGTGATTGCATCGAAAGCGTCCTGCAGCTCTGGGTGATCTCCTATTGACCGTACGTCCCTCCACTCTTCGGGTTTTGTTTGAGGGAACTTGCGTTCCCAGGGGTCTCTGTAAATGTTGTGCAGAGCAATCGCATCCCAGACGTCGTGGCGATGGAGATTCTCTCTGGTGGCGAGAATGGGAAAAGATTTGGGTGGTTCTTGTGTGCTAATATCAGCGGACATGAGGAAGTCAACTAAGCCCTCGAACTGAGAGTCAAGGAGCTTCCAAATACGAGAAGGTGCTTTGACTCTTCCGGAATGAAGGTAGATATCGTTGCACTAGAAAGATGGTTAGTTCTGAGGCATAGTTAGGAACTGTCACCTCAAGCTGGGCCTACCTCGTATGCGGATTCGCCTCTGTCAAACAGAACGACACCACCAAATATGCGATCCTCTGCCCAGTATCCAGCTACATCGGCAAGGCCGTGGGTGTATCGGTCGTAATCAAGATAATTTACATGGTAAAAGAGCGTCGGGTGGGGTTCAATGTCTTTTTCCCAGCGCGGTTTGAGGCCATCGTGCTCTATCCACCGAGGCGGAAGGACCCAGGACACAGTGGCGTCGATGTCCTCCTGACTGTGCAGCTTGGGATGATGTGTAAATAGAGCCACCGCTATGTTGTGGATGGAAACGGCAGTCAGTTCCACCAGTCGCATCTTGAATTCTCGAGACCCGATTTCTGAGCTTTGATATGCTTGCATGATCTGTCCGGGATGTTGGTCTCAATCACCATACAAGTCTCAAATCTCAATCGTGACAAAGTACATACCTTGGAAGAAAAGGAAAGAACAGCCGGGTCGAATCCGTCGCGCAATTGCTTTGCCTGCTGCAGAGCGCCATCGCAAAGGGTCTCGTGCTCCAGTAATGGATGGCCTTTCCCGACAAGACACCCGCGGCTCTCGAAAACCGAGATCATCAATGGAAGGCCATCAATAAGCTGTGCTATGCTCAGCTCTGCCAGCTCTGTTGAAAGGATGTTTCGAATCGCTTTGACGAGTGCGTGGTAGTGTTCAGGATCAAGGACTTCGATGGAGACCTCGGAAGGCCTCTTCCTCAACAACGTTTTTTCATCCATTGCTGACGATGACCGGCGCGGTAGTGGTTATGGTTTTGACCTGATATTGTTGTTCGATAATTGATGAAGGTGGGAAATTTTTCATGTGTGTATGGAATCCTTCCAAACAGGAGGTAAAAGCAAAGAAGTCAAAAAGAACAAAAAGTGAAGTGCAGGGCAGGCATAGCCCCAAGACATTGTTCATGATTGATCCCCATGCAACCCTAACCACAAGCCAGCGGCTGACCAAGCTGTGCCTCAACTTTGAAATATCGAGACATCGCTTCATTGGCATGACAACTGCCGGGCGCGCGGCAAGACGCAGATTGAAACCAGTGTTGTTTCGAGTAACACCAGCATGACAGCCGCTTCGTGCGTCATTGACAGTATGCGTTGGGATCACACGGTGAAAGCTGCGGTGAGATATTGATATCCTCCAATTGTAACGACTGGTGTATCGAGAGTTCCCGGTCTGCTTTCCTCAGATAGAGGTGATTAATGCTGAACATGCCGGGTTGCTGGTTCTTCTAGCGCCTTCTGGCCGCGTCGTCCTCCGTCGATGACTTCAAACTTGAACAGGCGCTTCGACCGGCCGGCCTTGTGAGAGCCGACTCTTCTTGTCATAGTTTGCCATGTCAACGGCGAGGCATTGGATGTTGCGGGTAGGGCATATCGTATATCTTCAACGTGAATTGGACATCTATAAGAAGGTGAGACTCACCTTCAACCAGCTAGACAAATACCTAGCTATACGCATCACTCAAGCATATCTCCGTTACTGGTAACGAAAATACCCCTCCGCCCACAAACCCTCATTCAAATCAAGCCCTGGATATTTTTCACAGAGCAACGGCATCCTTCAGGCTGAGACTTTCGTCAACATCGCAAGCAAACGACCTGATTACCATCAACAGACGAGCGTTCCCACCTTGAAACAACGACGCTTCCACACCCAGCACCACAGACTAAAAGACAAAAATGTCTCAACCTGTCGGCGCTGCTCCCCGTGCGTCCTCGTGGGGACAAGTCCGGGACCTTGAAAACTTCCAAGTCTTTTTGATGCCAACACCTGAGGCCCTGAAGGAGAAGAGTCTCACGAAATTCCGCGCTCTCGGACCGGAAAACTCCCTGTTCCGCTGTGCAGCCTCTGTTGCCGGCCTGGCCCTTGATATGCTTGAGCATCCCAGAGCATCCGCGTGCTCAAAACAATCGCCAACCACGTCATCAGCGTTAGCCCACGCATTCTCGAGTTACGCAACATGAAGGAGGCCGATGTCGAGGCCACGGTCATGAAATATCTGCAAACCATCCGTCGGAGCTTCCCTAACCTCGTCATCTCGGACGACTGTGGCATGGCCAACAAGAACGGCCGGACCACCAAGCAGAACTGCGCGAGTGCCTTTGACCCCAAACGGGCGTGCATCATCGAGATCAATGAGACCCTGATGACCAGGATGGGCAACGCATACAAATACATTGTTGCAGACCGCGATGTAGAAAAGCACGCAGCCCACTTCCGCACGCTCCATCTCCGACTCAGCATCACCATGGCTCACGAGTTGGTCCACGTCTTCACCCTCTTCCTCAAGCGCGCAGAAGACGAGCACACCCCTCCACGCACCACCTACGCAGGCAAGGGGGATAAGGAGACCGGCGAGGCGGGACGCTTCTGGGAAGGACACTTTCTCGGCGGGTGGGTCGATATGAGGCTTGATCGGGAAGGGCAGGAAACTATTGCGCTGCGTTCAGATGAAAACTCCAAGCGGTGGAGGATCAAGTCTGGAACTTGAGACAGTCTTTTGGACCGGGACTTTGGCCGCTGGTTCAAGAGGGGCATGACAGGACTCACCGATCTCGACCACATCGTTCCGGCGGTCGAGCCTGGACTTGAGGAGTGGAAGTGGCAGCAGAACTACCGGAATCAGTTCGCTGCAGGGGCAGATGCCAAAGCAGATGACCCGAAGCAGCCGCGAGAGTTGATGGCGACCCAGGTGGTTTGGCTCACACGTCGGAATTCTGAGACGGCGGCGGGCAGGTTCCCGAGCTACACTTTGTCTGGCCAGGACATTCATGATTTCGCTCTTAAGCCAAAGACCAGGATTCGTGAGATAAAGGCTCGTGGGAAGTAATAGTTCTTCAGTATTCCGGTATACCGTATCAAGCAGGCTTGGTGTGCGTGGATACTTAGGGAGGGAAGAATAGTGATAGACAACGGACAGATCATGATACTAACAGTCTTTACAGATACCTTAGTTAATAGTCTCTAGATTTTTATCTTAGCTCTAGCCAACTAAAAAGACGAATTCATTGGAACTTTACATCGCGCGAGCGAAGTAGTCAGGTCCTAACGTTGTGTAATAGAGTGAATGAAGACTAGCAACAGCTGTTTTGATGAATGAATGTTTCTGTAAGTCCGGTGGATCACGAGTCGCACAAATAGTCTAGATACCAACGATTGTGACTTGTATTGCATACTGTGGAACTGTCTATCTACACCAGCCAGTTCCTCCGTATATATAGACCTTAATCCTCCAGGAACCTCCGTACCTGGCTCACCTCTGCCAAGTGGTGAGCGCCCCACCGTCCTGCAGCCCCGCCGTTTTATTTTACTTGATTAGCTACCACGGCTTGCTGCAGTCTCCACTTTGCCTTGCTATATGGTTGGTCTGTGACACATGGACCCTCGGCCCTGATGAAGCTACTCCCAGGACGCATAAACCACTACTCCAGAACCTTTTATCACCGCGCACTAGCCAACACGCTCAGCCACATCAGAGGCTCATGTTGTCAAACCTTCTCTTTCTCTTTTCCTTTTCTTCTTCAAGTTCAGTGTACTCGTAGAGTGGCATAGCTAGTTGCAAAACACTACCTTGAGACCATTACATATACTTCATTATCATTCCGCCTGAGAGCCTAAAAATGCAAGCTCGATGCACCGAAGTACCTCTATATTCTACAGCCCGTTTTATTTTCGATTTCTATTTTTTTATGTCGGCGCTTATATGCTTCAGGTTTATTGGAAGACTGAGGGGTGTGAATGTAGAAGATTGGAAAAGAAATATTCCTCAGTTTTTGGCAGTATGTCTTCCGAAATCAGCATTGGATTTCCCTGGAAATGACAGTCTGGATGTACAGTTCTAGCAACGTCTCCTACTGGCGACCTTTCTCATAGCAGGGTGTAAAGAGAGTCGTATGTGTAGCACATGCTGCCGCCCGTGCCACAAGCATCGATCTTCATGACGTCCCCAACGGTGGTATCAACTCCGCTGACACCCACTGACAACGGATGAGCCAAGGTAACGTTGGGGGAGGCGGGGTTCATCATGATAGACGGCCCCGAGATATCACTCAGTCTTGCCGGCAGGTTCAAGCTCTGCCACGACCACCACAGTCTGTCCAGATTTGCGTGATGCAGGTGGAAAAGTGGATCAGCTGGCGAGGTGTTCAAGTCACCCATTTGACCTGGAGGTTTTGTTAGGACAATGAACGACAAGTGCACCATGTAAGAGAGAGTACTAACCAAACGTTCCACCAACGCCGAAATGCCCACCACCGTGCACACCTGAAGCATCAAAGCTGGGGGACCCTTCAACAACGGCGTTGAACCACCCAAAGTCGGGCTGGCTCAGTGTGAGCTGTGTCTGGTTCATCCCCAGGTACATCGACGCAAACGAAGGAGCAAGATCTCTCTTCAAGCACTGCGGGTTATACACTAGAGAGCTCCCAGGGCCCAAGTGGACCAGGTCGTTGATCCCCGCAAAGGGACCATCCACCACACAGCCTCCTCCGGTGCGCCCTGGGACAGGTGGCATCCATGAGGTGGGGTCACTAGGAACCCATGGGCCGTTGCCCCCGAACCCTGTCATGGGGTCGAAGACGGGCGAGTCGGTGATGTCGGCTGCGTCGAGGGTCCAGTCCCAGTATGGTTGGGCGCCGGTGTAGCCGCACTCGTTGCGGAGCATCTTCTCGTATGTGGCTGTGAAGAGTCTGTGCCAGGCGAGGAAGTGGCCGACGTAGTGGACCTCCAGGGTTTGCTGGATGTGGGTGTAGACTAGGTTATCGTAGCGGCTGATGACACCGTGACCGGTTGGGGGTGAACCTTCTGGGGTGAGGGCTGGTTTGGCGAGTATGCATTTGACGGCATTGATGTACTCTGCCTTCTCGGAAGTGGTGAGAGTACGCCTTTGGGAATGTTAGTGAGAACAAAAAGAAAAGAGAAACATTTTGGGTGAGAGTTACCATTCCTTGCGGACGATGGGCGTGGGAGGAGTGGGTGTGCATGCGGCCAAAGCAGCAGAGGCACAAATGATGAGGCTCTTGATGCCGCCAACCATCTTGGATGAGTATCAGAGCAGAAGATGCTGATGAAGACGAAGAATGATGGGAGAGAAAGCCTCGAAAGTTGACGCTTGTGAACCTATTTATCTCTTGATATCTCCTATCACCTCCGGATATCCCTGAAGAGTTCTCCCGTCCCAAGACCCTGCCTGACAGGCTTATTGATCCTGCCGCCACTTCAATGTCACCCATTTATGTAATGTTCTTCTCAATATTTCTGTCAACGCCTTACGCTGCGGTACAAGCAACCCACAGCATTGGCTCGGTTTGCCCAATGATACACGCCACCGATGCAGTACCAGACGTAAAACTGCCAGTTGATTGGACAGCCCAGAGCTGTTTCGAGTTTTTTTGGTGAGAATACGGCAGCCTACACTAACGGCTGCAGATAGTCGTTTTGGCAAGCGAACAGCTCGCTACTGCAGCGTTCCTCAGATACCCATCCAAAGATGCATGGGAGTGTGGTGGAGTGTGATGTCTTGGGTGCGGGATTGTGAGAGAGACTACAGGGGTCGGGATTTATGTGGGCTCTGACACCCCTACTAGCCTTCCATGCAAGTTTCCAACAGAAGAGTTTTGAGCATTACCCTATCTCGGTTAGGTCGACGGACATCGGTGCTAACCACTACCCCGATGTGCCTACTTTGTGGCAACTGGGACAAAAAACAGATGTATCTGGGATAAGCGATGTAAATTACTGGGATAACAGGCATATATAGCTGTGAAAAACAGTACACGGTGAGGGAAGATCCTATGAAAACCCCAACGCCCGTGCAGATGGGGCTGGTTGACGGAACCGCCTTGTGTTTATCCTGGGACTAAGGTAGGTGGTTTAGTCATCCAGGGGTTGGTAGGAAAGCGCTTCCGCTTTCTTCGTTACTATGATCGTGGATTATGAAACTTATTGTGACGCTCAGCGCTCTCTTCTACCAAAATCTCAATCTCTGGATTATTCTAGTTCCAAAATCCTACTGGTCTTCGCCAATCACCACTGGCTGCCCGCCGCCGCTGCCCAGCCTCTGTTGTCCTGACACCAAAGCTTATTTATGTATAAGCACCCAAGCATCATTATTGTTGTTTTGTATGGTTGACATTTGCCCTTCATCCACTACCACAGGTCCAGAATATGGTGGAAAGGTGGTGGTTTATGTTGGATTCGGCAGTTTGAATCCGCGCAATGCTCTCGTACTGTGTACAAGCATGATGTCAGCATTAAGAAAACAGACACACAACAGATATACCAGGATTGCGTACAAGAGCCCTCGTTTCCTTGATCCTTGCCTGCATAGCGAAAGGAGATGCTTTCTTCGATTCTCAAAGCTGGCGATGATGAGCCGCACTCGCGACAAGAACCCGTCGATGGCTGGCTTGGCCGTTATCTTGAGCTCCTCATCGAGGTCCTGACCTGTCTCTAGACCCTCATATCTCTGGCGCACGCTGTTCAAAGTGTCAACGTTGAGCTCCAAATCCTGATCGAGCCTTTGAAGTCGTTGGAGAAGTGGAGTTAATCCATGGTCGATAACACCAAGCACGTCCTGGTTGAAGCTTCCAAAAAAGTATCTGGCAGCCCGATCTTCATATTCTTGGCCATTGAGATCTATTCGGTCAATCACAAGGGAATATGGACTCGGGCGGCCGCTGAGTCTGGCGAGAGCCCTGCTACCCTGGCACCCAGAGCTCTTCGGCATGCCCGGATCGTAAGGCTGGGAAGTGATGACATCAAGGACCTGAAGCGTGCCGTGGAGACGTCTCTCGATCTCATGAGCCAAGCCTCTCCAGTTCCAGGCGGACCAATTAAATATATGAGATGCGTGCCCAACGTGCCCTCAAAGCACCCTTCAACATTCTCAGTACTAGCGAGCTTGGCGAAAGGCTCTGAATCAGCTTGGCAGATACACTCTCGGAAGATTTTGTTGCTTTTCAGGGTTATCCACGTCGCAGTCCCAGGTTTGATGTCGAAGGAGTGATAGGTGACCACTTGTCGTCTGGCCCAACTATCGGTCCGACCGACCTGTAAACGGTCTATGTCTTGCCCAATACCCCTAAGGATGAAAGAGTGGCATATGACGTTGCCAGACCAATTCAAAAAGGAGTTTGGCTGAGGAGAAATGCCGAGTGTAGGTGCGAATTGGGATAGAGATAAATCTGTACGTTGACAGCCATATCCGCAATAGAAATTGTAGACAAAAGCGAGAAAGGAAGGGTCAACTTGGTGAAAGGTGAACATACCTAGATTGAGATAGGACACAAAGTCTTGGAATTTCATGTGAAAATCTCTTGTGGCGACAATGTGCTGTTGGCGAGGATTCTTTGGACAAGGAATGGCAGCATACATTCTCTATGATAACTCCAATGAAAATCAGAGAGTAGGCCCAGAAACCTCCCACACACACTCTAGTAAAACAGAACAAATACTCTAAGCTTGATGAGACTCTCACTATCATATAACACTTCCCACTTTAACCACAGGCGAGGGGAAAAGCTTACACCGTCTAGAACGCCACCCCGCGGACCAAAAACGCGGCCGCCACGCCAAACACAAGGTACCCCACCGTTCCCCTACCCAACAACCCATCACCCGCCCCCGAAGTCTGCGCCATCTCTGCCCCAAAAGGTTGGGCCAATCCCAGGTTCACCTCCGCAGCCTTCGCCTCTTCTCTCTTGACGGTCTTGGTCGGCGTCACAATAATCGGGGTAGTGCCGCGACGTGAAAGATGACTAGCCATCAGGCCCTTCGTGGTCAGCAAGTGGACAGGATCAAGGCAGCTCTGAACCGCCATCCAGTACTGGAAATACTCCACCGGGATCTCGTCCAAGGTGGCAGCTTCGTCGATAAGTTCATCGATCAGCTCGTCAATCATCTCGGCCTTGGGGTCGTCCTTGTCGAGGGCAGAGGTCTCCTTCTCGAGCTCTTCCAGCTTCTCCTCGAGGGTGTCGCCGTGGGATGACTTGCTATCGGAGGAGTCCCCGTCAACAATGTCCTCGATGGTTTCTGCGAGGATGTCTTCATCTTCGTCCTCTTTGTCAGAAGAGTCACCGAGGATCTCCTCGATAGTATCAGTTGATTCTTCCTTGGGTTCGGAGTTGTTATCGTCACTGGCCTCCGCCAGGGCCTCCACCACGTCGCTAATGGACTTATCTTCGTCATCTTTGGCAGCCTGCTCGACAATCTCCTTCAGGGCGTCGGCAGTCTCAGCATCAGACTTAGACTCTCCCTCTTTCATCTGATCCAACACCTCCTCGACAACCTCGTCAACGGTGATCTCCCGCTTGCTGAGCTTCCAGGGACGCCAGCTTGTCCAACTGCCGCCTGAGCTTCCAGAGCTAGACTGCCCATTCCTGTCCGGCAGGTCAATGCCCGTCTGATCCTCGACGAATGCCGTTCCCTCTTCAACGGCAAAATCTTTGCCAGCATCCACAAGCTGACCGCCAAAGCCACCACCGTTGCTCTTCCCTCCACCACTCCTCGACTTTGCCCGTGCTTCGATCACGCTCCGCTTTTTATTCCTCCTCACAAAGTTGATGCCAGAACCGGATCGTGGCCTATCAGGTAGCTTGATACCAGTTTTGCCCTCGAGATAGCTTGAGCCAACGTCCCACGCGGCGTCGGTAGCCTGGTCTTTAAGGCCATAGCTGCTCGATTCGTCCTCAAGGCTTTCTTTGTCTTCGACGCTGGGTTCGACTTCGACGCCTGGCTCTTCATCACCCGTAAAAGGGCTGGCGAACCGGGTTGGCGAGCGAGGTTCGACACGCTTGTTGCCCTGTTGGTGGGCGGTGTCACGCTTCGTATTTTCCGGTGTTGAAACAGGAACAGACCTCCTGTTGACTGCATGACGGCGGTTATCAGTCGCGGGGTTAGCAGCAGAAACCGTGGCGGCGAGGCCCAGGGCAGCGACGAGAGCGGTTGTGTGCTTCATTTTGATTATATTCAGTTGTGTGTCGACTTGCCAGAAGTCAAATGTGAAAGAGTGTCGTTTGAGAATGAGCTTTCCAGAAGCCCGAAAGAGAGAACAGAAGAGCAAAAGACTTGCCTGCAAGCCTGTTAGTAAAAAGCGGATGTTCGTAAGATGGATGAGCGGATGCTGAAGAAAGAAAGGAGCATCAAGGGACGAGGGCACATGTCCTTTAAATCGACTGGACTATGCACTCTCACCCGAACCATAGCCATGAAACTTCGACATTAGTCTAAACAGCTTTTGAGGGCATCCGGATAGACCCAGACAACCTCGAAAGACGGGTCGGCCATGGCAACCAAGATAGGCCCGAGTATCGGCGGGACTGTCCAGTCGATCTGGAGATTCTGCGAGCAAGGTGATTGGTAACCCATGTAAGGCTAGGTAGGCTAAAATCAGGCTGCTCAAAGGCCCTCCAGACCAGTAGACCTCGAAAGCACAAGAACTGGAAGCTGTCGAACCTAAGATTTCAAATCGTCGCGGTAAATCTGAGCAACGCGTAACTGCTTGCTCGGAGTTGTATCAGTAAGGCAAGGTACCTAGCAACGGTGTCACGGTCCACAAACGGCCACGGGGACCCTCCCGGAGGGATCGGAACTGGGCCGCGACAGTATCCTCCGAGGGTCGGCTGATGGATCGAATCTTCGGAGCAACATTGCGTACGGGCCATGTTTCGGACGGGAATGTCCACCACCATCAATTTGACGTACTCAAAATAAGATAGTGTGGTCATCAGCTGTCTCGTGACCTTGCCTGCCGGAACCTAAAACCAACAACCAATCAGCGCCAAGACCCCTCCCTAAACATCAACACCACCGCGCGACGAGCTGAATCCCCAACCTCACCAAATATCTCGATGAAAACGGCCTGATGATCATCGGCCATACCCAATTGACGTCCTCATCATGGAAGCTCCCCGAACAAACGGCATCAACCCAGCCGAAGCCACCAACAATGAAACCGCCCCCCTCATCCCCCACCACAGCCACGATCACAACCACCAACACAGCACCCCAACTCTCTTCCCCATCCCTCATGAAGGTGAATCCGGCCGCACAGGCTTCCACCCTTCCCACTTCTTCCTCGTCCTCTGGCGCAGCTCGTCCCCCATCTCCAGCTTCGTCAACCTCCTCTTCCCCTTCGTCATCGCCGCCTTCATCTCCCGCATCTTCTTCTCCCACTCCCACCCACTATGGACCTTCGCCCTAAGCTACATAGGCATGATCCCCTCTGCCAATCTCCTCGGTTTTGCCGGACAAGAGCTCGCGAGAAAGATGCCCAAGGTTGCCGGGATTCTAATCGAGACAACATTCGGCTCGATCGTGGAGATTATCCTGTTTGTGGTCTTGATCATCAACCATGACGAGAAAGAGGAAGGGGGGAACATGGTACCTATCATCCAGGCGGCGATCTTGGGGAGTATCCTCACCAACCTGCTCTTGTGCTTGGGAGTCTGCTTTTTCGTCGGCGGGATAAGGCATGTCAGCCAGAGGTTCCACGCGATTGTGTCAGAGGTTGGAAGCGGGTTGTTGCTTGTGGCCGCGTTTGGGCTTTTGATCCCCAGCGCGTTTTACTCTGCGCTCAAGTCGGAGGCGAAGACGGTGGAGGTGGTAATTGGGGAGGGGGTGAAAGTTGTTGTGCCTTTGGAGCATAGTGATGATTTCACATTGGGGAAGTTGGAAGATGATGTCCTTCAAATCAGCAGGGCGACGTCTGTTGCGTTGATTCTGAGCTTTTTCATGTACATCTGGTACTGCGCAAGCAGTCAGCACAGCATCTTTGACGAGGTGATCGAGGCGGATGAGCACAGGGATGCCGATCGGGAGGCAGATATGGAGAAGCCAAAGTTTACTGCTACCGAGGCGGTGATAGCGTTGCTTCTGTCGTTGGCGTGTGTCACGGCTTTGCTGATATTCCTGGTCGATGAGATTGAACATGTGGTGCATAGCGGAGTGCCGGATCAGTTCTTGGGTTTGATCTTGTTGCCGTTGGTTGAAAAAGCAGCGGAGCATTTGACTGCAATCGACGAGGCTTGGGGTAAGTGTAGTGACATGCGTCCGTGGTGTTCGGTGCTGATAATAATGACAGATGGTGTGATCAATGTTGCGCTGTATCACTGCCTGGGACCCTCCATCCAGACAGCGCTCTTCAATGGCCCACTAGTGGTCATCGTTGGCTGGACTTTGGGCAAGCCCATGGATCTCAACTTTGAGATATTCATGATCGGGTTGCTTGTCTTGTCGATCCTAGTAATAAGCAACTTCCTGCGAGATGGGGAGTCCAACTGGCTCGAGGGTGCTCTTCTTGTGGTGAGTGGCTGTTGCTAGCATGAATTTCAGCGAGTCTAACATGCATATCAGATCGTCTATGCCATCACAGCAATTGCCTGCTGGTACTATCCCAATCCCGACGTAGCATCATCCAACAGTCTACAACAACTAAAACTAACCAACGGAACTGTCGCAAATGCGATCGGGGGGTTGAGGCAAGCATTTACCGGAGTGTAAGAAGAGTGCGAGGACAAGATTGGATAGACGCAACACCCACTTGCGCAAAGCTGAATTACGACTTGGGCGTTATATCTATCGTGTACATCTGACCCCTCTAACTAGACTCTACTCACATTA